AGGGAGCGTCGGCGGCCTCCCGGCCCGGGCCGTGACAGCCCCGGCAATGTTGAGGTGCCGGCCGGGCACGGCGGCGGCCCCGCGGGCCGAAGCCCTGCGGCGGGAGGCGGCTGCAGGCGGCTCCGTGCCCTCCGGCTCACCCGGAGCGTTTGGCCGGCTCCTGAAGGCGCTCTCCTCTTCGGGGAGCGGGGCGCCGGTGCCGGGGTGTTGGGGCCAAAGGGAGCTCCGTGTACGCGTTGAGGAACCCTTGCCGATCCCTGCTCGAGTAGAGCCATTGACGTGCGCCAGGTCCGCTACAGGTCCTCGGTGTCTTGATGCTGCTGTGAGTCTCCAGCAGGCGAATGAATCTCTTGAATGTCTTGTCTGTTTAAGTTTCTCCCTTGCAGTCAAGGCGAAGACTCTTTTTAGTAAGCAGTCGGAGAGGTGGAAAGGAAGGCGTACATCTGCTGAGTCTCCTTTTTAAGTTGCTTTGTTTATCAGCATGGCTCACTAGAGAAATTCATGCAGAAGCTTTTAGTGCATCTGTTTTCTTGTATGAGAGATGACTTTCTCCCTTATTAGTAATGGCTGTCAAATCCCTTATTGTTTTCTCTCTCCGTGCCCCTTTTTTCTGACAAGTCCCTTTATATATTTCCTGGACAGTAACTAAAACTTTTGAGGGTTGACCTGTTGTAAAAAATTACTAGAACGTGGCTTACATATGGATTATTGTTATGTTAGAAATCTAGAAAGTAAGTAACAAGGTAGAGATATATATGTTGTCTGTCTCTCAGACTGTTTCCACCTACTGCAGACAGCCTGTTGTGGTCTCACACTCCATCTTTTTCTCTCAGTTGGAGAGATTTGGGTTTAATGGATGAACTGTTTGGTGAATGAGGAATTGAAACTGGTCACGTACACAGAGTTGTAGTCACTGTCTCAATGTCAATACGAAGATCAATAGCAAGTGGTGCCCCTCAGAGGTCTGTATCGATCATTGACAATGATCTATATCTTTATTAATAACAGACTGGGTTTGAGTGTGCCTTTGAAAGGTTTGCATATGACACCAAGCTGAGCGGTGCAAGTAATATGCTAAGGGGAGGGCATGCCATGCAGAGGGACCTTGACAGGCTTGAGGAGCAGGCCTCTGTGAACCTCAGGGTTTGCACCTGGTTTGGAGCAATCCCTAATATCTGTAGAGAGTGGGGGATGAGTGGATTGAGGGCAGTCCTGCAGAGAAGGAGAAGAAGACTTGGGGAGTGGATGAAAAATTGGACATGAGATAGTAATGTGAATCCCAGAAAGCCAGCATATTCTGACCTCCTTTGAAAGAAGCATGGACAGCAGGTAGAGAGCAGTAATTCTCCCCTCACTGCTCTGCTGTTGTGAAACCCCCATCTGCAGTACTGTGTTCAGTTCTGGTGACCCCAGTTGTAAAAGGACGTGGATGTATTAGATCAGGTCCGAAGGAGGGCCATGGAAATGGTGAGAGGAATGGAGCACCTCTCATACAAAGCAGGTCTGAGAGAGTTGGGGCTGTTGAGCCTGGAAAAGGCTTTGCTCAGAGGTCTCATTGTGGCCTTTAGGTGCTTAGAAAGGGCTTAAAAGAAAGACATATTTTACCAAGCAGTTACAGAATAAAGGCTAATGGCTTTAGACAATTATAGGGTATGTTTAGATTGGACACAGAGAAGAAAGTTTTTAGTCAGGGTTGTGAGACACTGGAGCAGGTTGCCCAGAGGAGTTGTGAATCCTGTCTCTGCAAGTGTTGAAGACCAGATTGAAGGGGGCTTTGAGCAACTTGATCGAGTGAAAGATGTCCCTGCCCATGTCAGGGGAAGTGAACTAGATGGTCTTTGAAGATCCCTTCCAGCCCAAACCGTTTTGTGATTCTGTGATTCATCTGAGAACCTTGGTAAAATTTGTAATAAATTGGAATCTTTGTCTTCACTGAATTGTTGAGTAGGGACTCCTTCACAGAAAACACTCCATAAAACTCTAAGTTCTTAAAAGTCTTTTTCAACCTAAGTAATTCTATGATCAACAGCTGGTTTTTGTTTTTCAAAATACTTTTCTTCTCTATTGCATTTTTAAGTCTTCTGCAATACAATATTTATTTTTTTTTTTCTCCAGGATCTATAGTATTTCTGTGTCAGGAATTCCTGTTGAAAGATTTTATCAGGATGTGGCAAATTTCTACTCTTTCCCTATCTCCACTAAATAATCAGTAGCTTCTAAACTGTTTAATGCCTCTTGTATTCTTATATAAACACAGGTTTCTTTTAGCAGGTGTTTTAACTGTATTTTAAAGGGTGCTTCACATCAGACTACAATTCTAAGGTGCTCTTATAGCTCTGTTTTTAAAGCTCTTTCTGCCCTTTAACATTCTTTGGAAACTTTTTTCTGATACAATTGGTATATGTTCTTGTTCAAGAGTATTTCAAATATTTGCTACCAAAGATCTTAAATTGTTGTCCTAGTTGCTAGTTCTATTTCCAGAAAACAAAACAAGAAAGAAATTGGAAAATAGATTGTCTAGCTTTATTGGAATAGTGCATGCCTTTTCAAGTACATTATTTCTATAATAGTCCTGTTTCCTTCATTACTCTTTTTTCTTAGACTTGGAGTCTAATCTAAATTCAATCTAAGCTTGTTTATTAGTGTTATCTAGGTCTGTGATACTTAAAAAAGTTAAGCAGAGCATGAGAACAGAAATGGAAAGCTCTGTTTATCAACTGAAGTATGAGTATTGAGGGAGATGGCTCACTTCTAGCAATTTAGGATCTAGATTTTTTTTTAAGTGGTTGTTCCGATACCTCTCTGTATCTCCTTACTTGAATAATAATTTTATTTACAAGCAGTATGTGCAAGATATGCACGAGAACTAGGTTTTGTTATTTTCTTAAATAAATGTTGAAGCTGCTCCTGTGTGTTTGGATTCCGATAATGTAACTAAAATTCTTGCTAGTGAAAATGGAAGTTTTGGCCAAAATCACAGTGAGTTTCTGTGTGCAACCTGTAGTCTGCTTGTCTGCGCACTTGAAGATTATCTGAGGACTTCTTTGAAGTTGCAGCTTAAAAAAAAAAAAAAAAAGTGGGTTGTCTGCCACATTTATCACCCATGTTTTTATGCATGTGACAGATGGGAAGCCTGTTCTTACCCTGCTTTTTAGTCCTCTGTTAGGAGGGATGCTAGCACTGAAACCTCGCCCTTCTGAGACAGGATTTCCCTTGAAGCAGTCAACTGTAGTACATGTGTTAGCTCAGCTATAGACTTCAAGTGCATAGACTGAAAAATCAAAAATTCTGTGAAAGTCATGAAAGGGTGTGTGTGGTGTTTTTTTCCCCCTAGATGCTGATACCTATGTCCAAGGAATACATAAAAGACAATAAAGGAATTTTGTTAGCGCTGACATCCTCTATGTCAAGGAAGATGCGTGTATCTGAAGGTGGTAAGGAACCCACTGGACAAGCTATTTAGCATCTTGCTATTTTACAGGCTTGTAATTCTTGTTCCTTTCAGCACAGGACAAGTTTGAAGTAAGGTATTAGTGTGTGGTTAGTGGTCTGTGTGCAGCTTCTCTGCTCCTTGTGTACAGTGAAGTTAGGCTGCTTTGTATATAATCAGCCTCTTTTTTGAAGCAAACTTTACAAGTGTTATCAGTTTAGTCTTTGGAAAGTAATTTATGATGTTCAAGTGCTCCTACGGAGTTAAGGGGAAAAACCCTTAGACAATTAACAGATCTTTAAATTTAGTAGAGAAATCTCTACTAACAATTGAAAACAAGAAGCCGAAAACATCTATCTTAAACCATTTATGTAAGTTAACCTGCTGTGAATGTGAAGTACAAGGTGCTGATGAAATTGGATGAAATTTAAATGGTGAATAATAAAGGAATTGATGTTCAATGACTTAGTTGTTGTTCCTGCCTTTACATTCCCTGAGTTTCTGCTTAAGAAATTTTGTTCTCCCTTTGTTCCTTTCTCAGCACTTGTGTGTTATGTTTGTGAGGGAGCTACAGCTTCAGGAGGACCTAATGTTTATATAACGTCTGTGTGATTATTGTTCACTTAAGGCTAAGGTGGGATTACTTTCCTTCTGAGCCTACTTTGTGCAGTCCTCTGCCTGAAGTCTTCCATAAACACTCATCAAGGAGTTTTTGCTTCTGCCCATGATGGCCTTAGAAGGTTTCCACCTTCTCTGCTTGTTAAAGATTTATGTTGAAGTGAATTTGTGGTTTGATGGGCTGTGGCTTCAGGCTCTCAGTGATGGACCCATCTTCTCTCTCTTCCCCCTTTTGGGATCATCCCCTAAGTAGATGGCTTGCTTTGTTTCCAGAACCAGTCAGCTGCATAGGCCTAGTTATTGGGATATACTTTTTCACAAACAGCTCTGCCTCTGAGAAATTCATTACAAGGTCTACTGAGTTATGTGGAAGAACTGTTTAGTTGTTAGTTTGTTGTTTTTTTTTAAATTATCTACCTAAACTTTTTTTTTCCCCAAAAACTAGTGTCTGAAAGTTTTTTGTTGCTGTGCTCTAGCCAGTCCTCAAGGAGAGATTTAAAGCTTTGCATGGTGCTGTGTGTTTGCAGTCAGCCAGTGATTAGTTTGTGGTCTCTGACCCTGCAGTTGGAGCTGTTGCTGACCTCTCTCTTCCACATGTTCTCATTGTGTCTAAGAATTACTGTACAGGCTTTACATTATCTTCTGTGTTTTTCCAGGCTATCCACTCAGTTTTATACTTACACCTGGTCTTGCAGGGAACTTGCTTACCTGTGCAGTAGTTTATATAATTTTCTTTCCCTCTCACTGTTCTAGGCTCCAGCAGTTATACAGGGTTGCATGCCTCTCTTCGGACAGTAATTTTAGTCCTAATGACAAAGAACTACTTGCTCTTAGCTGTCTTTCACAAACCTCCTGCTAGTCTTAAAACTCTAAGAACTCTTAATGCCTTCAATGGAAACAAATGGTATTGCTATAAATATTCATGCTAAATCTATTTGAGTTTGAAACCTAAAAAGATTTTTGTGTGCCAGAGTACTATTGGAGGTGTGCATGCTCTAGAAAGTAAAGTAGTATTTTAGTCTTTGGGGAGCAGTTTGCTACCTGAAGTCCATACTGTGGCCTCAATTTAATCTCTATAGAGTGTCAGTGGCAGTTTTGTTATTGCTGTTTGATTTTGGGTTTTTAAACTCTGAATTATTGGAATAGATGTTAAAATTTTATGTTTCGGGGAAAAGCATAGAGTTCATTCAAAAGGTGATAAGAAGTTTTACCTATGCTAGTAACATAGCAGATGGGGGTTGACAAAAGAGGCAAAAACTCATAGTGAGGGAAAGTTCTGAAAATATTATAACAGAGTTGTTGATAGTTCAGTGGGACAGTCCTCAAATAAATCTGTTTGCAAACAATGCAACAAGAGCCAGCCATATTAACAGAATTAAAGAATAGTTAAGAATTAAAGAATAGCTTCCTGTGCTATGCATCAAAGTTTATGGACAACTTCTAAGTAAGGAAAGATATGGGAGTGTATGTGGCTTGGGCTTATTTTGATTTCTTTTCCTTGGTGGGAAAGGAGTCTGGAGAATAGAAACACAGTTAAGTAGCAATAAATTTTAAATGCTTCAACTAAAAGCTTTCATCAACAGAAGAGAAGTTTGAGTAAGATCGTTGACTCAATCAGAAGACTGATGTAAAATTAATTTTTTTTCTGGAATACTTCATGGAATCTTAGAAAGACTTCACTTGGAAGGTACCCTAAAGGTCATATAGTTCCAGTCCTGCTTTCATGGGATGGGACACCTTCAACTATACCAGTTTGCTCAAAACCCATCCAACATGGCCTTGAACACTTCCAGGACAGGACATCCACAACTTCTCTTGGCAATATGCTGTAGTGTCTCACCATCCTCAGTGTAAAGAATTTCTTCCTAGCATGGTGTCTAAATGTCTCCGTTTTTATTATTTATTTTAAATTGTCCTATTACTATCTGCCTAGGTAAGAACTTGCTCTCTCTCTTTTTTATAACCCACTTTAAGTACTGAAAGGCCACAATGAGGTCTCTGCACAGAGCCTTCTCTTCTCCAGGCTGAACAACCCCAGTTTTCTCAGTTTTCTCAGCCTGGCTTCACAGGAGAGGTGCTCCAGCCCTTTGACTATCTTTGTGGTCTTCTGTGGACCTGCTCTTAACAGGTCCAAGTCTTTTTGTGCTGGAGACCCTGGAACTCGATGTGGAACTGCAGGTGGGATCTCACAAGGCCACAGTAAAGGAGAAAATCACCTCCTTTACTCCCTTCTTTTGTGGCAAATGACCTCCTGACCTCCCTTCTTTTGATGCAACCCAAGATGTGTTCAGGCCTTCTGGGCTGCGAGTATGCATTGCTGCCTCATGTCCAGCTTTTCAACCATGGGAACTCCCAAGTCCTTCTCTACAGGGCTTCTCTCAGTGGGTTCTGCCAGTCTGCAGTTGTGTCTGGGATTACCTCAACCCAGTGTGGCACCTTGCATGTCAGAACTAGGCTGGGCCTACAATTGCACATTGCAAACCCAGTGTTTTCTATAGGAACAAGCAGTTTTGCTCACAATGCATGTAGATTCTCCTCAAGAGCAAAATAGTAATGCTGATGGCATTTGAGACTAGTCTTCTAGTTTATCATTATATGACATGTTAATACAATTTCATTTTTCCCCAGGTAGTACTTCATAGTAATGTAGAACATGAGTAAAACAGAGGAGATACAGCAGCATTACTGTCTTGGCAAATATCATATATACTCATGGTATATGTGAGAAGGTAAAAAGCTTTACAGCTTCTCTTCCCAGCTTAATTTTGTGACAACAGCAGATTAGGCATATTACACACTTTGTTACAGGAAAGAAGTTTGTTGTTTGGGTCTTAGCAGCATCTGTATCTGAAGTAGTTTGCAGCAATAATTTTTCCCTGGTCAGCACCACTCCTGCAGCACTGAATGCAGTTTAGAGTGTAATTGTTTTACAATGATTTTGCATTTGTGTTTAAGGAAAATGGTTGTCTGGGATGATGGACAGCTGACTGGAGAGTTTGCTAATCTTTGAAGTCTTCCAAGAAAGAAAGAAACTTTCTTTCTGGGAAAGAGAGAAAGAAAGAAAGAAAGTTAGTTTAGCTAAACTTTCTTTAGCATGGTCATGTAGTTCAGAAATTGTTTATAGACCTATTTAAATAGCCAAATGTCTTCTTTTCAGAAAACAAGGTTTCTCACAGTGATTTGGAAAAACAGTTTCAATTACTACTTAGGTTTTTCAGGGCTTCCCCCTGCCTGCTTTTGGAAGCTTAATTGACTGATAACCAACCTTGTTTAAAGAAATATATAAGAGTATAAAGTGAATTTCAGTTCACTTCCCTAAAATTATATATGGGTAGTGTTAGAAGCTTCTTTATAGCAATAGTCTTGCTGAATTTCAGCACGTTCTCTGAAGTACTGCCTTCTTGCAAGTATATTGGCTAATTATCTCTTTGTCTTTGATCTTTTCCTTTAAATTTTATCTTTAGTCCTGTTTCTCCTTGCTTTCTTTACAACCAGAGTCTTTCTGTGCATTGCTTCTCTCTATATATATATATATTTAATGTGCTATATTTGTATTTAGCTTTAAAGTGCTGTTATCTGCCTTTTGAAGTAGTTCAATTCTAATACTGCATACTGTTGTGTTTAGGAAAGTTTGAATGGCTGTGTGGAATACAGATCTTTGAAGGATTGATGGGTTGCATTGTTCAAAGGAGACAGTTACTAAATTTTCATTTTGTTTCTTGTGATTCACAAGTGCAAATTCTCTGTTCAGCTGTGTGGCTGCTTATAAGTGTCATTAATTGTGTGTGTATTACTTAAGGGATATAGTCTGCGGAGAAGTGGCTGTTTCTATTCTCTGCTCTGATCAGACCTCTGGAAATCAAGTAATGATCAAGGTTGTTTTGCCCCTGTAGCCTTCAGACAGCTGCATCAGATATATTGAGCTTGCTGTTACGTAACAGAATCATGCTGTAATCATTTTCTGATGAAGGATGTTCAAATGGATAGATGGCTGTATATTTTAAGTATGTCTGCTGTCATAATGATGATTCTTTGAGGAGGGAAGCAATTAGATGTGCCTATTAGTTATAACCTGTGTGAATTTTTATTGTACTAACACATATCTGCATTAAGTTATGTTTAATCATTAAATGATTAAATCATGAAATTATTTTATGAATTCATGAGAAATAATCTGCTGAGGAAACACCCACAGCAGGGAATTTTGTTTGTAAAAGAGAAACTGGACTTGATATGAATAAAACATGAAAATCTGAATTAAATAAAATAGAAAACCAGTGTTGCTACAGAGCTGTTGAATTGCTGTTGCAAATCAGCAATGTATAAAGAGCAGATGACTTTTCCCATGTTTTCAGTAGTGCAACAGGTTTAAAAAGCAGGTTTTGTTGAATGAAATTGTAGTATTTCAACTAGAGATCTTTCTCAGATGCCTTGTTAGGGCAGTATGGAAAAGGCTATACTAAGTTTCAGTGCTTTAACTAGTCTTGCTATGGTTGGTATTGAAATAGAAGGCTGTTGCAGGAGGTAATGAATTTTCCTTAAAATTTCCCTATTACAAGAAAAGCTTGCCCCTTTCCTATCTGCTGCCAAGTACACACTTGAGGAATTAATGGAACATATGCTGTTTGGGATAACTTAGTGCCAGTATTTGACTTTAACTAACCATGCAGAATACTTCTTGAAATCTTGAGTACCGTTATGATATGAATGAAACAGAATTACACAGAAATGCTTCCTCATACTTAACTCTTCATACGGTTTATTGGTAGCTGGACTATTAAATTTTTATATTTGTATTTTCAAAACCTTATTGCAATTGAATGGTTGCTTAGTTTAACAGTAGAGGAGACATTTGTCATAGAGATTTGTGACCTTACAGTAACAGTGGCATTTTCTTCTCTGACAATAGAACAATACTCTTTCATCTTCTGTAGGCCAGTATTGTCAAATATTGCTAAATGTTAATGATTTTGTCTGAACAGACTGTTTTCTTGATTGTGTGAAGTATTTCTTTGTGTGAATTGGTGAAAGCTTGCTATTCTACAGTTGTATTCTGGTTGAGTTTGACCAGTGAATGACATTTATAGTAGAAGACAGTATAAAATGGACATTCAAGAAGAACGTATTTCAAACTTCTTTCTATAAATTTTTGAAGATTTTAAAGCATTTAATCAATATTTGACTTAGTATCTTCAAGGTATTTTTTTTCCAATTGCAAATATTAGTTAATTTAAGAGATGGTAGACACTTTAAATATTTCTTCTTTTAGTGGTCCTTTACCTTATTTAATTTTTCTGTTCCTTTTGTACATATTTATCCTGACCAGCATCCTTGGCTGAGCCTTTTGCTGCATTACTTGGCGGTTTTCCCTGAGAGCTGACTGCTCAACTGGCTGAATAAAAAAATGAGCATGTGATGCATTTGCACACATAATTGTTATGTACAGAACAGACAATATGCAGAATTGCTTAGATGGGTTTCTTTCCTGAAGTAAAAAGATTCAAATATGTGGCAAGCACTCTTGGATATTTTCTTATGTACCTTTTTCCTTGTGATACTACAGTTGTTTCTAGATAAGGAATAAAAATGTATCTGACCCTTTATAAGGGCACTTGACATGTCTGTAGGCTTACTGTTTGATTTTCAGGTCAATAAATAGGAATATGACTATGCTGTAGAGGTACAGCCTCTATCTTGGTGTTACCAGACTGTTAGTTTTCCCAAAAAGCAAGATACTTGTACTAAAACAGTGCTGTTCAACAACAAGATTAAAAGCAGAATTATTGCATGAGGAAGAAGCAGTAGAAGGAGGTCACTGATTTGTGACCTCTGTGTTAGTGTCCACATTATGCATTGGGATGGGATGCTGATATCTCTGTGCTGGCTTTGAATCAAAAGGTGAAACCATTTAAACTGTTTTAAACAAAACCAAAAACCAAGATGCAGACTGGTAAAACCAGTGTCATGAATATCTGAGAGAAGATGCAGGGTTAGGTGGTGAATATAAGTGTATTGGTGCGTGAGCTGAATTGTGTGACTGTGCACCCACAGCATTTCTGTCCATGGGGATGGGCGATTAAGTGTGCTCTCTAATAACTGAGTAGACCTAAATGACAGCACGGGACAGGAAGGGCTTATTCACTAATTTTGGTGCAGTTATTTGTGGGGTGTGTACAGGTGAGTGTGTTTGAAATATCACATTAATGCTACTCCAAGCTGGATAAATGGGACTTTGCTGCCCTCTGGTTAGAAGTGTGCCTAAGGATTGCAGCACAACCTTATCAGATGTAAGCCAGGTATGTTTTTGCTGCTTTCAGACATAGCAATGCAATCTCATGTCTCACTTTTTTTAAAATCAGTTTTAGTGAAACTTTAGCATTCTCCTTATCTCACAGAGTTTTCTTTTTCTTTCAGCTGATGCAGCCCAACAGTTTCAGTATGCAGTGAGAGTTATTGGAAGCAATTTTGCTCCCACTGTTGAGCGCGATGAATTTCTTGTAGCAGAGAAAATCAAGAAAGAACGTAAGTGCATCTTGTTCCTTTCTTAGAAATACAAAATTGTTCATGAAGTTAATCAAGTTATTTCTCTGAAAAGGGGACAACTCTGCCTCACAGATAGTTATCTAATCTATTACTAATGCTTACTTCCTGAAAATCTCATGATGTAAATGCCATTAATTTCCTGATGACTATTCCTGAATGGCTATTTGTTCTCATAGCTCAGATTTTTCTGAGTACTCAGCTTAAACTTTCCTTGCTGCTTTGTATCTTAACCACTATGAAGACAAAGAGCAATTAATACTGCACTCCTTTCACCTTAACAACTTAATAACTTGGAATTTATGAGTTCTTATTTCTTCTTAGAAGAGTAAAAGACGGGTATTTTTGAAATGTACACTTCAGCAATAGTACCCATTGGCACAATTAACTTTATGAGCACCTTTGTGAAACTTGCTGCATGAGCATCCTGGGAATTGATGGAATGGTTTGTGACTTATGACTTGCCTTCAGTTTCTCTACAAGTTTTCTATAAACACCTTCTTAAAAAAAAAAAAAAGTCACAGACCATGACTTTGTAAGGGATGTTGCATTTTCATTCCATTGTGCTCTTTGCTGCTCTGAGTCAAGTGTTGCACTATGCGTGTCCAAGGGGGACATGATGACATTTCTTCTTGAAAAGCCTAATACTGCTTTCAGCAGATTCTGTCCAGAAACAATTATTTGAATTGTGCTGATGAAATTAAACCTTCATATTTGAACTATGAATATTCAGAGATTGAATTAGGATAACTGAAGTCAGTGGTTGTAACTGGTTTAAAGTCCATGTGTATTTATTTGCTAACACAGAGCTTCCGTGACTTGCTGATAGACAAATAAGCCCATTAGAATTCCTCTAGCTACAACTCCAAAACACTGGAATCTACAGTACACACATCCTGCCATGCTTTGGCTACTTGTAGATAGGACAGCATATATTCTTTGGGCCTGTTGCCAGTTTTCTGAAAAGGACTGTCTCCCTCATCCTCCTCCCCAGCTTTAGCTTGTAAGCTTCTGTTAGTGGTCATGTAACAAGTGACTGGATATATATCCTTCTAACTTTATGTTTATTTTGGAGATACCACCCAAGGAATGGCTTACTTGGCAAACTGTACTTACCAATGACATTTGATGCTAATTAACATTTCTAACATTTAATAGCTATTTTTCTTATCACTGAAGTTTCTTCAGATGTCTTCATTTTCTTGGTTTTCTTTTAACATGGCTTTTTCTGATGCAACATAACTTTTTAAGAAATCTTAGTTGGAAGATGTGTTTCCTCTGAGAAGGTACTTCTGTAACTGGCACTGATTTGAGTCTATTATTTTTTGTAATATATGAAAGTTGTGTGACCCTGGAATTCCGCCTGACTTGCAGAAAATGGCATTACTACTTTTTGTCTTGATATTATTGCCTAAAATAAAAACAATTATACTCTAGTTTTAGAGCAATTGCATGTAGTTTTTATAACATTCTTTAATGCATGTCTACTTTCAGTTGTGTCTTCAGTCCCTACTGAATGGCAGACTAGACTTTACCAGGACACTTAGGTAAAAAATGTGTATTTTGTTTGAGCTAAGAAAAGCAGATACTTATATTGAATTACCTGCATTGCAAGAATTCTCAGGGCTGGAATGCAGATAAAATGAAAACTGTCAAAGTGCTTAAGTAAATACAATGAAACAGTCTAGTATCCTGAAGCTTTCTTGGTTGCATTTTATAATTTACCACAAGTATATGTTAAGACATGACTGTTAGACTTTCAAATTTTTAATCTACTTTTTTTTTTTTAAACAGTTGTGCGACAAAGAAGGGAAGCAGATGCTGCTTTGTTTTCAGAACTCTACAGAAAACTCGGTTCACAGGTAGTTTCATAAACGTATGAAGAGACTGAAAGCACTCATAAGCATCCTTGTGATGTTAGAATTGTTTTGGAGGCTGCTCAGGTCATGAACAATATTTTTTCTGGGAGGATAGTTAAATACTCAAACAGCTTGCTTAGGAAAGTTGTGGAGTCTTCATCCTTGGAGACAAGTCAAAGCCTGACTGGACGTTGTCATGGGCAACCTGCTGTAGATCACCCTGCTTTAAACAAGGGGATTGGACCAGACAACATTTAGCGATGCCTTTCAACCCTAGCTATATTTCTGTTATTTGATTCGGGTTGTATGAAGGGGTACTTCATAAGAAGAAAGGAACTCTATAGAAATAAAGGGTTCATTTTATATGTAAAACTGATGAATTTTCTCATCATTTATTTTACAGAAATGCTTTGCAGTGTATTAATTTTACTAATCTAGTAGTCTCATGCATCTGAATTTTTAACTGCTCCGGGTCTTCAGTGTTGAAGGTTAAAGCTTTGCTGGCTTGGATGGCTTTAACGCCAGTGTTAATCAAAGAATACTGCTTGCCAGTATTCTGACAAAATATGTTAGTGTGTAGAGAACATGAGTTGAACATGATAATGCTAAGATTAAGATTACAAAAAAAGGTATTCTGTGGAGAGTATGGCTAGTCAGAACGTGGTTCTTCTCCTCCCCTCCTCCATACTTGACTTACCCATTACTTTGTTAGTGTTTGGAGCTCAAGTTACTGAGTAAGTTGTCCTGGTTACGATACCCTGTGGGTTTGTGTATTAATTGCACTGCTTTGTATGGCAGAGCACTGATTTGCAGACAGCTCTTAGTACAGACTTTGTATAACATGTTTCTGTAGCTTATGTACTGCATCACCATTTGGCAGGCAAAGTGCTGCAGAGCATGATGACTAATCTTTGGAACAAAATGCCTTGCCTGTGTTATATGTTTGCTTATTCTTCTGTAATGCAGGCCATATCCTGGTATATTACTGCCTCCTTAAACATTTAAGTTTCTTCTAACCTCTTTCTTTCCTCTACTAGCATCTTGTGTATATGAAATAGTATCATGGCTTCTTTAAAATTCACACAACCAATTATTATTCAACCTGATGTTAGGTTTATTATTAATGGTGTACAATCATTGCTTTTTCCTATGAGCATAGGGAAGGGCTCAAAGGGATATACATTTTCTGTATCAATGAGGCTCTTCTTCCAACGATTCTTGAAAGCAGTTGGGAGGGGGAAAAAAGTGTGTGAATCTGTTCTAACTTTGTTTCATCTATTACTCCAAACAGGAAAGGAGGTCAGTGCTTATTTATATGGCAGCCTGCCAGTTGAGCAAACCATGCTTCTCAGAGCACTTGGATGTATTCTATCCTGGCTGGAAGAAGAAGCAGCTGCTGCTCCTTCTTCACCACTTCTTAATCAGTTGCTGTATTAGTTACCTGCAATAGATGCAATGCCTCTACTTTTTGCTTGTTTTTGGGATCAAAGCAGAAGATAATGGAATTGTGCTCTACATAATAATATAGAATGTTTCCTTTTAGTCTTATATAAAAATGTAGAGCTTTGGTAAATTATATTGCTTCATAAGGGATGGAGTCTGTGTTGAATCTTGATATGACTCAAGTTTGCTTTATATTCAACATTGCTTAGTATTGCAGATCATAGCCTGATCAGTATTGTGAGGGAATTTGTATAAGTTTCTTTGACTCAGCTTAATGACCATCATAAGGTTTTATGTCCCTGGTAAATTCAGGTGCAGGTGTTAGTGTGCCAGAAGTATGGAGTAACATATCTAGGAAAGTGCATATTTAAAATAAATAATTTTAGTATGTGCCTTCATTTTAAAGTATTCCGTTTGTAGCTTGGACTATAGCTGAACTTGGTCAGCTTTCTGCTGAGATCTAAAATTGCTGATAGTCTTACTCTAAAAGTCTGTGTCTGTTTGATAAAGACTATGTTGTGTGTATCTCAAGTTTTATTTTAGCAGTGTCTCTATCTTAAACTATGAAATTTTTGGTAGCTCTGTTCAATGGCATTTAAAGTAATAGAAATCAAAACCCTCACTTTTGAGGCCTTCCTGTAAAGGAGAGTAGAGGGGAAAAGGGAGAAAAGACAGGTCCTTGCTTAAAACTTCACCAAGAGTTTTCTTTTTTCATGTTTCAGTTAAATTAATGGCTGCATCTGAGATGTTTTAAGTGGTGAGAGTATGGGAAGGCTGGTAACAATTCAGCTCTGTATAAACCTCAGTCTTAGTAGCTATGAATTTTAAATTCAGCCTATTTGCTGATCTCAGAGCAGATGAGAATTTGTGATTTGAACACAGTGGAAAAAAAGATAAAATTAGCAATACAGAGGCTGCACTGAACTTTCTCAGTTTATTCAGGAATGTGATTCTGAGCTAGTCTTATTTATCTGGAAAATTTATTTATATATGTATATATTAGGAAGTTGGATAATTAAAAAGAATTTTGTTATCATCAAGAGTTAAACTTACTTATATTTGTCTTCATCATTTTTTGAAGGGCATTTTGAAAAATAAATGGTCAATACTCTACCTCCTGCTTAGCCTTAGTGAAGATCCACGTAAACAGTCCAACAAGGTAGGTGAGGAGGTTTTTCTTGCTTCTGAGAAATAGTGAAGGTGTGTCACTTATTTTAGAGGTCTTTAAGAATCATTATCCAGACTTAACCAATACCTCAGGTTGTTTTCATGATATCAATGTGTGAAGCTGAAAGGAAGAAAACAGTTGACTTAAGTACCTGTAATATTTGGTGTAGTTTTCTTACGCTACATAAATGTAAAAATATGAGCTGTCCAACATGTGTAACTGAAGTTGTGAATATATTAGGTGGGTGTTTTTTGTGTTTGCTTTCTGCTTGGTGGTGTGATGCTTGCTCATGTGATAATGAGTTTTAAATGAAGTAGGGAAAGCAAAATGCAGTTGCAGCTCTGCTGGCACCAAAGTGCTTTTTGCAGCTATTGCTAATGACTCTTTGCAGGCAAAAAGAAGTTGTATTGCTAAAAGTACTGTTGCTCACTGTAAGACACTTTTTTTGTCATGATAATTACATCAGCAATTTTTTCTTTGAATAAACGTGGTCTTCATATATTTATTGTGTTTATGGTATATAGTCACATGTTCACTGAAGATGTGACTTACAGCAATTTCCACTTTTTTTTTTAATTATTCCTTCCTTTTCAGGTGTCAAGTTATGCCACGCTTTTTGCTCAAGCATTGCCACGGGATGCTCACTCAACCCCTTATTACTATGCCAGGCCTCAGACCCTTCCATTGAATTACCAGGATCGCAGCGCTCAATCTGCCCAGAGTTCCTGCAGCATGGGGAGCAGTGGGATCAGCAGCATCAGCCTGTATGCCCTAAATGGGCCAACTCCAACTCCACAATCACTCATTCCAGGGTAAATTTTACCTTACAGATAGGTTTGGAGAAGACTTTTTTCATTTTTTCTTTTCTTTCCTCCACCCTTTGCTTTTGTATTCCACTGGAAATCCCACTTTAGATGCAGAGAAGCTGAGTTCCTGAGCTGAACAGTTCAGAATATCAGGTGCTGGCATATGACCATATGAAGCCATAAATGGCTGTCAAATGTGTCCATTTTTAATCACTATCTTTTTGTATCCTGATTTTCCTTCCCACCCCCAAGAGTTGTGAAATAAACACCAAATCACAAGATGTATTTTCAGAAAGGACCAAAGCTTTTATTTTTTGAGTTGAAGTCATATGTCAAATACACTCTACTAAAAAATATTATGGAATTAGTGCTGACAGAACTGGATTTTATTGTTACTAATAGGCTTTACAGTACAAATACTGCAGTAGTGATAAGATGATGTAGTTCAGGATTCTGGAAGTGAAATCATGGTAAAAAGCAGTATTTAGTCCCTGACTTCAGGGTAGGAGAATTGGGGCTCTTCTGGGATCTTCTTGGAAAGATCCCCTGAGAGGCTGCCCTGGAGAAAAGAAGGATTAAGGAGAGAACAGAATAGATAATTCTGTTTGAAGGGAACTACAGTGATCATCTGGCTCAACTGCCAGACTAGAGAGCTTGATATTCATGGATCACCTCCTGCAAGCTTAGGAAAGAAACAGGAAAGGAGAAATTAAGTGGCAGGAGGCCTGCATGGAGAACCAAGTTGTTTCTGACAAAACTCAGATACAAAAAAGTGTACAAAAGATAGAAGCAGGACCAGGTGCAAAGGAGCATCCAGTGGCAGAGTGACTGCTATGAAATCCTAAACTGACCTAGAGCTTAATCTGTCAAGGTGCATGAAGGGAAACAGCAGATATTTCTGCAACTACATAAGCAGTAAAGGAAGGCTAGAGAAAACAGGGGTCCCTGTTCAAGGGGTGTGTACTTAGGTGACAAATGTGGAAAAACTTGAGGTACTTGGTGCTTGTTTTGCCTCTGTGCTGGTAAAGTCAGCACAGGACACTGAGACCCTTAGGAAGGTCTTTGTTTTCTGTAAAGCATGTCCAGACACATGATGGACAAGAAGCAGGGGACTAGGAGTGGTCAGCACAGAGTTCAGAAAGGCATGCTTGACCTATCTTACAGCCTCCTATGATGAGACAAGGGGAGAGCAGTAATTGTTGCTTATTTCAACCTTACTAAGACTTTTAATGCTGCCTGCCTGTGACAGCCTTACTGACAGACTGAATAAAATATGGACTAGGTAAGGTGACAGTGAGGTGTACTGAAGCTGCTAGACTCAAAAAGATTTTGATCAGTGACACAAAGTCCAGTTGGAACCCAGTCCCTAATGGTGTCAACAGAAGCTACATTCTTCATCCCACCTGATGGCACAGAGTGAATCTTTGGTAACTTTGCAGGTGGTACGAAGCTGGGAGGAGTGATTGTTAAATGAGGTCATTAACCTGCTTGTTAGAGGGAGCTCAGTGGGCTCCAGACACAGGCTCACAGGAGCCTGATGAAGTTCAAAGTCCCACACCTGGCAAGGAATAACTCCATGCACCAGGACATACTGGGTGCTGACTGATTGCAGATCAGCTTTACAGAAAATGTCCTGGGATTCCTGGTAGGCACCAAGTTGAGCATGAGTATGCAATGTGTGGTGAAGAAGGTTAAGGAACCCCTGGGTTGTGTTATGAAGGACTTCACCAGGTGGGTAAGGCAAATAAGACTTGTCACTGCTCTGTACTGATGAGGGCACATCTGAAACACTGGGTCCAGTTGTAGTACAAAGAAGAGACATAGGCAGGCTGGAAGAAGGGGTCTGGAGAACAAAAACCAAAACCATTTAAGGGGTTGAAGCATCTGACGTATGAGGGGACACTGAGTGAGACCTGAAGTTATTCAGCCTGGAGAAGAAAAGTCTTGGGATGTTACCTATGTAATGGTATGACAAGGGGCATAGAGAAAACTGAGCTAGACTGTTTTGGGTCAGGGGAAGAACAAGAGGTAACTGGCAAAATTAGTGAGTTGTGAATCTTAGTTAATCAAAAGGGAAAAAAACCTGTATGTTTGAGGGTGGAGGCATATTGCAAAACACTGAAATGTGTTTCCCAGAGAGGTTGTGTAGTCTCCATGCTTGAAAATACTAAAAGCATGACTTGAACAATGCACCAGCTAACCTCTTGTTGATCTGCTTTGATCAGAAGGGTTGTAGGAGGTGATCTCCTGAATTCACTTCTAGCCTCAATCATTGTATAATCCTGGTACAATATAGAAACATATGTCAGTGAGGTTATATCTTATATCTGCTTACTTAAAAATATCAGCAGAATATGCCTCTTTCTGGCATATTCTTGTTCTGACCTGTTCATACTGTTCTGTTTTATTACAATTTCACTGTGCTCTTTAGTCCTGCAGTCTGTGAACTGAATAACCCAAATTAAAACTTTCTGTGAGTTTCATTCCTGCTGAACTTCTCTTTACATCTGTTTTTCTTTTAACATTCTTCTGAACAGCCAAAATTCAGTGTTGTACTCTGATGATTTACTAATGCTAAACACAGCAAAGCTCAGTCTTTGTCACTGAGACCAGTTGTTCTCAGGACAGGTGGCCTCCTGAGTTGGTAGACATGGACAGGGAGCAGAATGGATCCACTCTAATTTAGGAGGGAGAAGTTACTGCCCTCCTGATCCACTTAGATGCTCACAAGTGTATGGGACTGGAGGGGATTTGTCCTAGAGTGATGAAGGACCTGGCAGAAAAACTCACCAAGATGCTGGCTAACCGGGGAGCTCCAACTGGAGCTTGGCCACCGTGGCAGTTTTTCATGGTTAAGGCTTTGTGAAAAGAATTGACAAGTTCGAAAGGAAGGGAAACTGGGACTTGTCTGGATATTCCCTTGATACAAACTATCTGAAAGAGTAGAGTAGCTGGAAAGTGAACTTTCTCCTCTTTCTCGATTTTCCTTTAGCTCTTTGACATGTAACTACAACTTCAGGTAATAACAAAACTGAAATATTTAGGTTTTTCTACTATGACTGTGTTTATTATTCTTATAGTACCTTCACTTTTAACCTATTTTAGTATAATTACACGTTTTATCAAAGTTAATCTTTGATATGAAATCATATATATCAAACTTATATATCAAACTTACACTTCCCTTTTCTACAGGTTGGGGGCTTTTTTGAAAGCGTAGACTTATAGGAAGAAATTAATTGCTTTTGTGTTCTCTACCCTTTTTTAAGGTTCCTTTATTAAACCACCACTACCCCCCTTCCCCCCACAAAACATCTGCAAAAACTTGGGGTATTTTTCAAAATTTGCATCACTCCACCCCATATAATGGATGTAGAATCAAAGATTTTAAAGATGTTTCTTCCTTTCATCCTTTTAGACAATCCTATCAAGCTCCGGGCGTTGGAGATTGCCTCCGTCAGCAGCTAGGGTCACGTCTTGCATGGACTTTAACTGCAAGCCAGCCTTCTTTACAAAGCACTACCTCAAAAGGCTTTTCAAATGCTGTCTCTCGTGGTGTGCCAAGGTCTAGGCGAGAAGGGGATACAAGTGGTGAGCAAAGATGTATTTGTTAAAGATTATGTTTTCTACAGTTGTTATTTATATCCTCCATATATTTTGAATTATTTTGGAATCATAGCATGTTGATTTTTTGAAGAGTGTTTTTCTAGAATGTGCTTAATAGAAGGATAGAGGCAAATATGCAAGACTAGTGTGTCTGGCCACAATCTCTTTGGCTGGTTGTTAGTTTCTTTTTTGCACTGGTTAGTTGGACTGCTCCTCTTAAACGACTGAGTTCATTCCAATGTTTATCATATAGTTAAGTGATTGTGACATGTGAGTGATGATCTTTCTTTTGATGATCAGAAGTTGCTATTGTTTTTAGAGTCAGATAGAAATCAGTAATCAGAACTTGTTGAAATACTCATCTCTTTGTGGTTTGGTGTCTTTCAGAACTTGGAAATGTGTACTGGAATATAGAGCTCTTAAACCTCTTTGTTCTTTAGGTTAGCATACTGTTTACAGGGTTGTATTCAGAAAAAGTGACATAAGATATTGTCAATAAAATAAAAAAATATAAATACAGACTGGTGAATGACTCGTGACAGAATGGTTTGAGTTGGAAGGTACCTTAAAAATCATCTTGTTCCAACTCTCCTACTGTGGGCAGGGACACCTTCCACTAGACCAGGTTGCTCAGAGAGCCATTCAGTATATCCTTGAACACTTCCAGAGATGTGGCATCCACAGTTCTCTGGGCAACCTGTTCCAGTGCCTCATCACAGCCCCCACAGTAAAGAATTTCTTCTTAAATTCCTAATATTGCTAATTTAAGTCCATGATTAAGTGCCTGTAAACTTGAAGCTGATGCCTAGAGGATCTATTCTGAATTGACACAGGTGTAACTAAGGAGTAATTGTTTAACAGGTGATCTCTGTGGCAACTCTTACTGTAAAAGTAAGTTCTGAATAAATGAGCTGATGGCAGATGTTGACATCCCATAGCAACATTATTCTCTGGCAACGAAAGATAAGAGATGCAGGCTTTTGTTTGTGGTGCTTCGTTTTGGTTTGTTTTTACCTTCTATACAAATAAGTGTGGATATTAAGGAACTATAAAAATATAGCCTGTCTGCCAGCGTCTGCATTTTTGAGTAGCAGTGTACAAAGCAGTGGCTTATAGATCAGAATTGTACTGGTGTATCTGAGGACAACATTTGGCATATAGAGCCTAGTTAACAAGACTGTTATATGCAAGAAGGTGTGTGTGTGTGTCTATCTATATAATGTAAATATGTGTTTTATATTGTGGTAGTTTCAATACATACAAAAATAGGGAAAAAAAGAATAAGTAGAAAAAGGAGCAGAAAAAAACATAGGAAAAAGAAATAGAAAAACATATAAAATCTACCACTGCCTCTTAATTTATTATACTGATTGCTATAAAAAGCAATACTTCTTGTGTTGAGTCAGCCAGCATCTGTGACTTTGGTTCCTGTGTGGGATGGGTATAAGGACTGACAGTTGTCTTAAATGTAGTCACTTGCTGGTGTAGAAATAGAAGTAGGACTGCATTCAGAAAATATTGCATTCAGTCTGTTGTCAAGAAGATACAGTTCTATGAATATAAAATTCCTGTAATTAATTTTTTTCTCCTAAAGTTGCTTGCTTTTATTTGAAGCTTTCTTACTGTTACGTCTACACACAGAGTATTAAAAAGCGCATTGTATGGCTGATGTTAATACTTGTATTATTTATCAGTTAAAGAAATGTGCACTTGCATCTTTCACCATTTCACTGCAAGTGCCTAAGAGGGACAACCTACAGTCATGCACATCTTATTGTTACAGGGGGAGACTGAGTTTTAAATGATATCTTGAAGTGAAGACTACTTCTGCTGAAATAAGAGTAGAATTTAATTTTTCTTGTTTTTTTCTGTGAAAGTGGATTGTTGGGGAGGCAAACTGACAAGACTAAGAGTACTGTCTAAATTGGGAGAAGCATGTTGTAGCATCTCAGTTTCTGGATAGTTGTTGTTAAGATTGTTTAATTCTTGAAATCCTAAATGAATTTACAAAACCATATGACGGTTTGCCCAGAAAAGATGGGGATAGTTTTAATGGCCTAAACAGTGCCTTTTTTGATCTTATGTTTATTTTACATTCATAAATATCTTATATCTCTTAACACAATCTAACTTCTGACTAGAGATAAGAACCAGAAGCAAACTGTATGTTACAATATCAAAAGCTTTTCTAAATCAAAGATATATTTATCTTCAGAAACAGTATTTACACTTAAATATTTTCTAGCTCCATGGCTGTTATGCAGTCTGATTTGATCAGTCTTCTCACTGAGCAGTGGCATATGTGATTGAAAGCCATTATGCAACAAGCAGCTCTTCCTTCTGGATTAACTGTTCTTTTCCTAGGTGAATGTAGAAGAGGTTAATCTGTAAGTCTGTTTAACAGCTTCAACTGTTTGTTCAAAGAAATATAAAGTTACTGTGGTGCTTGCCTCAGAGCTTGCACTGGTGTTGGATCAGAGGAGATAACAAGTTTAAGAACTGGCCGATGTGTCAGTTAAAGTAGGACATGCCCTGTGCCATACAAGCTGACTGCTCTGAGAGAACCACAGGTAGCATTAGAGGCAGGTAAAGGGAATCTTGGTCTTTCCTGTCAGACTAAGAGGACCAAAAGCATTTCTTTACAGGTTACAAGAACAGGCTTTATAGTTTTTATAGTTTTAGGTTTTTGTGGCTATGCATCTAAATAGCTCTTTAAAGTTTTAATCAAAACTAATTGTCTCAACGAATCTAAATACTTGTTTTGTTTTTGTTTTTTTCTTTTCTAGGTTCTGTTGAAATAACGGAAGCAAATCTTGTAAGAGATGTTTTATATGTCTTCCAGGGAATAGATGGAAAAAATATCAAAATGTGCAATTCTGAAAACTGCTATAAAGTGGAGGGAAAGGTACTGTATGGTGACTTGTATTTCATATGTGAGCAGAGAAGTATAGAAGAAGTATATTAGAAGGGGAAAAATAGCTGTGAGAAACATGTAAAAAAGTTAAAATATTATTACAAGTCTGTATTCTCTTTACAAGCTGTTTTGTTTTGTGCTGGTTTCATTTGTTTTGTTTTTGGGGGTTCTTTTGTTAATACAACAGAGTAGTTTCAACAGTAGTAGTTGAAAATTGGTTGGGTAGATTAGATGCCAGAAAGAAAATGCAGCATTTCACAAAACATGAACAGTCTCCCAAATCTTGATCCAGTAGAAGGACTTGTTAGTTATGGCTTTGAGGACTTCTGTCAACATTTCTCCTCTCTAATGTACAAGAATTAATATAAAGCAGATGCAGGCATTTGACTGTGTTATTATTGAATTAAATTTAACAGCTTGAGATATAGAATGGATGCTAGCCACTTGATGTTACGGGCCTGATTACAATTATAAGTGATCAGGTGCAGAGTACCTAGGAAAGAAAGGACTGGTAGTAGAACTGAAGAAAGGCCTGATGTGAATTTGAATGAAGACATCAAATAGAAGAGATGCCTGAGAGACTTTGCTTTAAGGTGGTGAGATGTTAAGTCCATCTGCAATTCAAGGAAACCCCAAATGTATGATTGGGTCAGCTGAGCAAAGAACAGAAAATGTCCTTAGTTACTTTAACATCTTCTTATTCAGTATTTGCACAGTACAGCTTCAGAGTTCAGTTTCTGCTAATTGGTTTTCATGTTCTTGTTCAGATGGAAGGACAATGCTTTCAGTTTTAACCTGTATTAAAAACTTTCTACTATGGCAATATTACATAGTCCTTAAGTGGGCAGGGAAATTATTTTGGTCCATTTCACATGCCAAGAGCATAGTAGACAGGTCTTAATGTTGACAGATGAGCTAATTTCCTTTTTTCCTTCATAATAGTAGGAAGATGTAAAATGTATAGTTGTTCACCATTACTTTACAGTGACATTTATATCTGCTTAATGGAGGGATAAATGGAAAAACCTAACTCTTGTTAAGTAAGTTAAATCTTCTTAATTAACAGATTCTTAATAAACATCTAACTGTAAGATGATGCAAAGTTTGTAATTCCTCAACATCTTTACTGAGTAAATCATATTCCATATATGAATTTATATATAGCAAAAGAAGGGTAGCATAATTTATTTTTCGGGAGGAATGTGAAAACACCTTAGTGATTACAAAATTGGCAATGGGTTTCATTTGTTTCTGTGTAGCTTTCATATCCAATAGGCTGATTTGAGGTGAGAAGCTGTTCTACTTGGAACTTGTAATTCAAGCAGTTTAATTACTGACCACAAACCAGCTGAATAATCTTTGCCCAAGAACTTTTTCTTCAGTAATTTTTGTGAAGTCAGTCATCTTCCACTCTCTTATTTGTACTTGGTCTACCAATCCTGGTGAAAATGAGATTATCTGAATCACCAGCACTGCAACTGGAACAACTTCTGAAAAACAAGGAGGACCAAGATCATACCTCCTCTAGCTGTATTAACTGCACATTAGGCAAAATAGTAGTCAAAGCATGTAGTTCTCCCTCAGCTGACAATCTCATTGTCTGGGTTGTTGGGGTTTTTTTTCCAGAAAGAAGCACACTTTGAGGTGCTATTCTTGCTGCAGCGTTTCCTAATCTTAGTGTTAATATTAGATCTGGTGGTGGCATTCAACACTGTATAAGACAGCAGCTTTTGTTTTGATCTAAGACATACAAATGTAATAACACAAGCTAATTTTGCTTGTTCCTCACTTAATTCCAGCGGATGTGTGTTGTGCTCAATGTTTGCCAAGTACTCTGTACTTGCAGAATTCTAAATAATCCTTTTGTCATCTCTTTGGCTTAAGCTGTGGGCAGGATTTCTGTGTCCAATTATGCTTGTTTGGGCTGGAATTTACCCTACAGAAGTTGTTCAAGAAGTTAAAGTTGTACCTCTGTGGGTAAACAAGAGGGCTAGGGGCTGAACTCTGGTCTTACAACCAAATGCTGCAGCCTGGTTCAAGCCCACTCTGGTGTGGATAACACACTCTGACACTAATTGTTATCTTGGAAAATGCCTGTACTGCTAACTAAAATGTTTAATGAATGACATTGATTCCTAATTCGGCAGCTTAACTTCTTAGAACAGTTCCTTGCTTTGGTTTTGAATGTTCCAGCGGGCTGTCAAAATTGTCTGTAGAGGTAGGATAGGCCCAGTTGCTGTGGGCAAAGGTCAGTCTCTGCCTCATGGTCTGTGTTATCAGTCAGATTGTTTGGGGTTTTTTATTCAATGAAGTTTTGAGTACTTGATGATAGTGTTCTTGAGTAATATGGTGAAATGTGGAAGAAGAAAATCTCAAGTCAGAAATGTCTTATCTGTTGTTAATTCTGAGGAAGAAATCTACTGATTCAGATGAAAAATATAGTGGTAGCTAAATAGGGTGTTGGGACTAAGGCAGGCTTGCAAGGCAAATGAGATACTAGGAAGAAAACAGAAACAGACTAGGAGAGTTCAGAAGGACATACGATTAAATAACTTATAAAAGCTGGACTTAACCTTGGAAGTTGGGTTCTGGAAGTTTGTGTTCCTGCTGCCTAGTCAGGCATTGGGTCATTTATTTTCTAATAAAGGTTTCTTTCACATGTAGCAATAGCTAACAATTTCATCAAAGTTTTTTAATCAGTTTTAGTCATTAACACCTTTGCTACAACTCTCATATTTTCAGTCTTGCTGGTTGTGAGTATAAGATGAAGTCTGATATTACAACATGAAAATGCAGATTTCTCCCTTTCTTCTGAAGACCATTTTCTTATTGCCATACTTGCCTAATGTAAAAAAAGTGTATGAATACTGTTACATTAAGATTTCCAAATGAAAAGGTCTCAAAGTTGCCAGTAGTTTATTGCTGCTGCCTTTTCAATGCATGTGTGTGTAAATATAATGTTAATTATATGGTTGTCTGCTTTTTTGCAGTATCTGTACTGTAGAATTTAGAATGAATTTTTTCTCAAACTGCCTTTTTTATAAGAGAGACCTTTGTGAAGAAACCAGTATTGGCGTGGCAGATTTGACTTAATTGCAAACTCGTTTCTTTATAACTTTAACTTTTTTAAACTTTAGTTTGTTTAACTTTATAGGTGAGCTTATCCAAATCTCTCCGAGATACAACAAGTAGACTTGCAGAGTTGGGGTGGCTACATAACAAAATAAGAAAATATACAGACCAGAGGAGTTTGGATCGTGCATTTGGACTTGTGGGACAGGTGGGTCAGCTAGAAAAAACAATCTAACTACAGTATTTGGTCTTAGAGTAAATGTAGTGCTAGAATGATGCATAAACTTTAGAGCTTGAATCATTCATCATTTGATTTACTCCTTTTGAGGATGCTGCATTCGATATGTCAGAAGGCAAGAAAAAGGCATTTGCTCTTTCTGGTCTTAAGGATTGCCCCTGTAATTTTTAGATGGAAACACTCATAAAATTCCTTTTCTTAATCTCACTTTTTAAAAACATACCAGTATTTTAAAATTGTTCATGCATGTTCATAAGCAAAACATTTCTTAAATGGGATGATGTCATCCCTGAAGTAATTTATCACCAATTCAGTTGTTAGCTACCTGTGCAGGAGACATTCTTGTCAGCTATTGTTGATGTTCATGTGTTTGTACTGCACTAGCTTACATAAAATGCAAGTAGTCCATTATCTTCTACCCTTTCTTTTGAATACAGCATCAAAAGAATATTAATTTTTGTTTTTGTAGGTTTCATCATCATGATTTATAGTCTACAGTAACTTCACTGCTGCTGTAATACCCAAAACCACATTTACTGCTAAGACATTCCTGTTTCCTCTCACTTGCTCCCTCTGTAAAACTGGATATTATCCCTTCTGAGTCGACAGAAATGTTATCCTTGCCTCTAGCCATAACATCCTACCTAATCTGCCAAGAAATTGAAGTGCTTCTCCCTTCAATCTAATTTTTCTTAAGAGGTCAGTAGAGACACTGTAGTGCTTCCTACTTTTCTAATGTTTTATTCTGTTCCATTCTGTCTCTTATTCTAGGTAACCCTTCTAGTTACATATAAATAACTATTTTTCTACTGATCCAATGCTGATTTCCATGTTTTATATGGTAGTGCTACTATGTATGCATTTTCTTTGGACTCTCCCCTTTGTATCTGGGTGAAGTTTTATTCTTTATCTAGCAGCTTTCTGCTTGTACTTATTTTTACCATCTCTGGCTTTAATATTCAAGTTTACAGAAAGGGGAGAACTTTAATTCTTCAGTGAATTTAAATGTGCAGTATCTTGGCTTCTGTATGCAGGTTTCAGATCCTGTGCAGAAGGCTGTGCTGTTAAGTTACCTGAATCTGCATAGCTCTAATGCCGCTAATTCTGCTTGAGGCAAGCACTTGTGTACATTTCTAGGACATAAACGTACAAATAAAAATTTATATTCTACTATTGCTGTCAGTATCTGGGCACAGAGAGAATGCCTTCATGCTCTTCATAGCTTTTATAGCTGAGAATTTCAGGTGCTGCACTCTGTGCATTAAGGAATTCAGCACAACAGTGTATATTGTTATAAAACATCTTTTGCTTAATGTTCAGAAAGAATGATTGTGTAAACCCCTGTTTAAACCAGGTGTAGAATAAGATGTCTGTCACCTCTTCTATTATGATTCTGGTGACTGGTTTTACCATACAAAATGTCCGGTATTGACATTAGAAGTAGAGATATAACAATATATTACACTTTATATTTTCCTACCTTTGCTGATTAATATCTAAGTTTTACTTTGTCCTCAGAAAATAAAAAGAATAATAGGCAGTTAAATATAATTTAGCCTGAACTTTGGCATTTTGCACACTTAGATCCAGTTGAGCTAGTGAGCATTTAAATTTCTTTCTCTTGAACAAGCATTCTGTTTCCTTCCTCAATTCTCTTTTGCAGCAGACCAAATCAGAATTCTAGGATAATGTCCAGTTTTCCTGTAACAGTTTGGGAAGCAAAAGTGTGTGGTTTGTGATGCAGGAATTGGTACTGGATGTAAATTTTAATTTGTAAAGCTTCTCTGAAGAATTGGTGACCAGATAGATTCTAAATCCTTTTGGCTACTAAATAATTAAAGTCAGTGATCACTGTTCTTCCTTTTTGAGCCTTTGTTTTCTTGGAGGCTGTGCTCTGCCCTCTGTCTTGGCAAGTGCCGCTTTAATAGGTTGAAAAATTTACTGGAGAAGCAAGTGAGAAGAAATGAAAAGTGGAGTTACACATAAGGGGATTTCTTTTTGCCCTTCAGTATCCCCTGGAATAAAATGAATGTCAAATTTCTTTGCCATTTACAACATTGAGTTGACGAAAGGAACCTCCTTTCCTTAAAAAAGGACACAATGGCAAGATTAATGACTTTTTTTCCCTAGGCTTCTTAGCTGCTTAGCAGGAAAGAAGATTTATTTTCTCCTTGTGCTTCTAGAAATTATTTCTGCCTTTTACATACTCTAGTGAATAAATATTTTACTTCAAATTCTTGGGTTCTTTCTATGAAGTTTTCCTTATTTTTTGCAGATTCTTTTGACCATAATTTTAAAAGGCCTTAAAGGGAAAATCCTGGGAAATTTCCCATTTAAAAAAGAAAAAAATCCATCACAATGGATATCAAATTCATTAGCTGAGAACTGATTAGAAAGTTCTGAAGAATTTGTGTGTATGCATGAGAGTATTCTCCCAAGAAACCAAACAAATTAAAAAGTTCGGGCACTCTTTGTGGGGTTTTAGAGTCTTTTTCACTTACTCCCAAATTAATGAGCCATATTTTTAGTTCTGTTTTAAAAAATGTGCTGCAGGGATTTTTTTTAGTTTGTATGTTAAGACCATTACAAAAGCAAAGCAAGACATCCCCCAAACCCTAAACTATGGAAAATATTTATCACTAAACAAGTATTATTTCAGGAATTGTTTTTAAAATTGATCTGGATTTTTAAACAACCTAAAATAGCTGTGCTTAGAATTGTTTTACAAAGAAGAGTTTTTGCGTTAGTTCTGGCTTAAATTAACTTCTGCACATTCTACAGATTTCTGAAGACATACTTTGTGTTGTTCATTTCTTCCATGTCAAGTGATGAATCATATATAACTGTGAATTGATGAAAGGTCAATTCTACTTCACTGCATACTGTATCTTACATGATTATTAAAACAAAAAATCTTCAACTGGGTCATGTTATAATTTGTACATCCCTGTGCTAATTGTTGATGCCATTACTGAGATGGTGTATCTACTTGAAGAGTTACACTTGTCATAATTTAATCTGTTGATAGAGTTATGGTAGCAAGAAACACGGTCACTTGATAATGTGTATAAATTCTTGGAAAAGGTATATGCAGCTCTTAGGGAAGATTTCTCTAAGAATTGGCTTTTATGCTGAAACTGAAACATCAGGAATTTTCCAACTATGTTGGAAGTGTTGTGAAATCAGAAGGATTTCTCCTGATTGCTTTGCTTTTTTTTTTTTTTCTTTCTCTCTCAGAGTTTTTGTGCAGCCTTACATCAGGAACTTAAAGAATACTACCGACTTCTGTCTGTTTTACATTCTCAGGTGAGTTAAGTGGTGCCTATTCTGTTAGAATGTAAAGGATGTACAGCAGTTTCTGTTGACAGTGAGCACAATTCTCTGTACGTTTCTTACTCTTTAAATGTATGTACCCTTGAATATTTTTCTCTTAAGAGTTCACTGGTATTTGATGTGTTACATAAGCAAGGAATACAATGGGTATTTCTAGGTCTCTGTCCCTGTTTTGCATCCTTTTTGTCAGTTTCATCTTGGATATCTTTATCATTCAGATCCCAAACAATGTCACATATCCTTGAGGGGAATAAAAGCAATCTCTATTTCCAGCAGTGCATGATTCAGCAGCTAGTAATAACAGTTCCAGGTTTTTTTCTGTGTGGGGCAGTTCATACATTTTTATTGTCCCTTTGTTTTCTGAGAGTAAAGACATCTGTTCTGCAGATGTTTCAGTGTTTTACAATTTTTCTGTAACATATAGACCAAATCAATGATGATAATCTTGCAGTTTTACTACAAAAATTTGTAGATATGTGCTTCTACGTGCTGTCTCTAAAATAAAAATAAAATAAACATTATTTTTCTCCTTGCTTTTTTTTTAAAAAAAAGGGGTTTTCAAGGGGTTCATTACTTGTAATGGTGAAAAATTTATTCTGAAAATTAACCTAAAGCTAAATTATACTGCCTTCTAAAATTCTATCTTCAATAAAATCTTTATAGTTTGTCATAGACTTTTGTTAATGTTTTCAAAGCATCTGTTCCTTTTAACTCACTTGCAGTTTATGAATGTTCTTTTGGAATGTCTGTTACATATACTTTTTGCTTATTTTTGGTAGCTGTTATCCAGTTACTCCTTTGGTAATTCTTGCTCTGTCCAAAATGTGTTTTCTCTCTTGGTTTGCTGAAGCTTTGATTTATTCTAACTTCTAAAACTTCTTGATCATGAAAACGTTTGAGTACTTTGAAATGCAATTTTGTCTACCTTTCCTGCTCCACCAAACCTTTCCAAAGAAGAGATAGGTAGGGTGGAAGGGAAAGCCTGTAAGGAGAAGACAAAAGTTCTGTGGTTACTTCCTTTGGAACTGCATTTGCCTTTGTGGTGGGTTGACCCTGGGCAGCAGCCAGGCACCCACCCAGCCTCTTGCTCCCTCGTCTCTTGAGGAACGGCGAGAAAATAGAAGGAAGACAAAAAGACAAGTCAATCAAGTTAGTGACAGTTTAGAAGAGAAAGCAAAAGCTGTGCGTGCAAGCAAAGCAAAGTAGGGAATTCATTCACTACTTCCCATCAGCAGGCAGATGTCCAGCTGCTTGTGGCAAAGCAGAGCCTTGGGACACTAAACACCTACTTGAGAAGAAAGACTGCATCACCACAAATGTTCCTTCTCCTTTCCCTGAGCTTTTTTTCTTGAGAAAGCTTTTTGTCCTTTATAAGCTTGGAAATTATTTTCCAGGATTAGTTGCTATCCCAAGGAATGAAGGGAGTCTCACTGGTGTGTAGTTTTACGGCTTCTTCTTGACGAGAGGAGTGACATTTGCTTTCTCAGGGTTGTCAGAAACCTCTTCTAATTGCTGTGTTGAAAAAATAATGGAGAGTGGCATTGCAGTGACATTGGCCAACTCCTTCCCTCAACACTTGTTGGTGCATCCCATCAGGTCCCATAGACTTAACCATATCCCATTTTTTGGTGTACCCTAGCCTGAACCTTCTGAACTTGGTCTTCCTTGTCCCAGAGTTCCTATCTTGACATGTGGTATCCTCAGCAGAAAATCTCACTGAAATAGCAAGGAAATAAAGGCATTAAGAACCTCAGCATTTTCCATTTTTCCTGTCACCATTCACCTAGCATCATTCAGTAGTTTGACACAAATTTTCCCAGTCTTACTTTTACTGCTGTTCTTCTTGTTGATCTTCATGTTCCTTACCAGATTCATCTTCAGTGTTAGAGTCCATGAGTGCATTGAGTATGTTGATTAAATGCGTTTTCATAGGGAGCAGTCAATACAGTGTTGGCAGTGTTTTGCTGCAGCAGCAGACTGGGGTTTCTGGGGAATCTAGATCCCCCAGCACCTAGCTGAAGGGGTTCACAGAGTTATGTTATGTTTGGATTTTCAGAGGCTCTTGGCAACATTCCTTCCCAAAGAGATGAAGGAAAGAGGTCCAGCAGTGGAGGAGAGATTCTTCTGTGACTTGAAAGGTGAAAGGGCTTGAAGGTCACACTGCAGAATGGACAAAAAGCCTGTACCTTTTAGCTTCTTGAAAACATGTAGAAAATTGACTTGGAATTGAGTGTATGTGGTATTCTTAGATTCAGGAGATCGTACAGGCTGCCAGCTTAGGAGTTGTTAACTGCAGTTCTAGAGAGCAGTACGGGCATAGAACAGCAAGAATCTTGTCAAAGGGTTCTATACCTCTTGATAACTTTTTATTATGTCTTGAGAGCTTCCCCTGAGCATGTTTCTGCCCTTGAATGAGTAATCCTGAGCATACTGTCTACCATTCCATAAGAGTCTCTGGTCTTTTTCTTGCAGGTTGTTTTCACATTGTCAGCCCATTTAAAAATGCAGTTCCATGATGAAGATGTACCATGTCTTCCCTAAAGTCAAAGGGTGGCTCATGTATCTCTCTTATCATTGCTGATTTCCAAAAACACCAAAGAAAAATTCCAGACATGGACCCAGGAGCATTCGGAAGCAAATGAATTTAACTGGCTCCAAGGCTGAACTTAATATGGATGACACTAGACTTAAATTTAACTAGTATGTTGCATTTGGCTAAAAAATGTGCTAGATGGGAAAGCACAGAATGGGTTGGTTGTCATATATCAGAAACAACTTACTTTCTAAGAGATTATCTCCTTGTACTGCTCCAGAAACTTGCTTCTGTATTCTTAGGTGGTGTTCTTGTCCAGCTTATTCCATCTGTACTTGTATAAGATTTGCATTTGCACATTGGATGCAAATACTTAACTTTTATTTTTCATGGTGTTGGAAGATTCACGGTAGTCATATTATCATAGTTTTCTTATTTTGGTGTTTTTTGTTCAATATAGCAATTCCTTAATCTCACTATAAGGCTAATTTAAGTTCTGATGGCTTCTGGAGGAAGACATTGAACAGAATTTGTCCCATATTGAAGTAAAATAAGCTGCATGTGCAGTAATAAAAGGTTTACCTCCCTCAGCCTGCCTTTCCTTTAGATGATTCTCTTTACTCTTTTTTGAGTATCTCTTGCTGTCTTCTGGGATCTCTTCTCTCTTTTCCTTTGCTCTTCTCTCTTTTCATCTCTATTACATTGCTGTCTTTAATGTTCTTGGTCTTTGTGCTTTATGTCTACCTTATTGCACTTATGCTTGTCTCTGTTCTTTTACCTGTGCTCAAGTCTCTGTTTCCACTAAAAATTGACTCTCAGGTTTTGGCTCAGTGATTTGATGAAAGAATATATAACACTAGGTATTTCAAATGTATTAGTAAAATCTGACTTCAGAACCAACTTCAAAACCTGAGTTCTGCTTCAGTTTTGTTCTTTGACATGTCTTTCTGTTTCTAACTTGTTCAGTTACAACTGGAAGATGATCAGGGTGTGAATTTGGGACTTGAGAGCAGTTTAACACTTCGCCGTCTTCTAGTCTGGACATATGACCCCAAAATAAGGTTAAAGACCCTTGCAGCACTTGTTGATCACTGTCAAGGTCTGTTTAACATTAATTTAATATTTCTGGGGATGTTATATAATTTTGAATAGTTGTGTGTGCTAGAGGTGGGTATCAATAATATTAGTGCTTGTTTGGACTTATTTAGTTTTTTTAGAAAATTTTAAGTAGGTAGTTTAGATTCTCCCTCATTTAGTTTAAACAAAACATGACAAATTATAGTGCTGTGTTGATACATTTAGACTTCTTACTTTCTTAAAACTAGAATATGCTCCAAAAATTCGATTTTAAGCATGTACTTTTCAGTTACTCAATCATCTTTCAGAGTGTGGTACACTGAAAAAGCCCCACTAATATGTTATGAAGTGGTTGGCTTAGTTTCCTCACTATGTATGAATATTATGCAATTTCTCTGTATATGATGGCATAGAGGAGTCATTAGCAACTTGTCTTCAGATTCATGTGAAACAATAAAACTTTGCAAATCTGCAAATACCATGATTTTGTTGGCAATCCACAAGAAAATGCTGGGGAGAGTCATGTTGGAGTTTACCAGAACTTTGGCTAGTAGATGACTAAACTGACCAGTAACTGATGCTTCTCCCTGATGACACTTCAGATTTATGAGATTGTAGCCCTTTATAAAGAGCATCTTAGCAAATAAAGCCTACAATACTTGTTTTGCCTTGATTATTGGAATTGGTATATTTTATTTTTTTTTTTAAATGGGTTTTACTTTAAAGACATGAAAATTTTGAGTTCCATGGCCTCTGCCACAAGGAAGTGGTTAGCTGTGAAGCATGGCAGCAAAAACAAATATTCAGTCTATCTTTAAACTTTTTTTTTTGACAGCTTAATTATCAGTTGCAAAAAATTGAAGGAGATGTTACCTAATGGAGCTATGGGGGCAACTATAACAAAGAAACAGGACAGTTGCAAAAAATTGAAGGAGATGTTACCTAATGGAGCTATGGGGGCAACTATAACAAAGAAACAGGAAAGCTGTGTGTGTGTGTGCATGTATGCACACAGAGTATCTACTTTTGCTACATTTTAGAATTACTGTTTAGCAAGCTCAATGTGACACACAGGTAGCTAAAATTAATGGCTGCTGAATATAAATGGGGTGCATATGGTTTTCCTTCAAATGTTTCTGTTCCTCTCCTTTTCTTCTTACAGGGAGAAAAGGTGGTGAACTAGCCTCAGCAGTTCATGCCTATACTAAAACAGGAGATCCCTACATGAGATCTCTGGTTCAGCACATTCTTGGCCTAGTATCTCATCCTGTACTGAACTTCCTTTATCGCTGGATTTATGATGGGGAGCTGGAGGACACATACCATGAGGTAATGTATATGCTACAGTAAATACTTCATCTCTTTGCTTTGTGGTGTGATGATCTGGGAAGCTTAGAGGGAAAATTGAAAAGTAGAGTGTGATGAAAATATATAGCATGAGTAAGAAATACATACAATAACAACCTGAAATACCACTCTCCATGAATTCTTCATGATTTTGATATCTGCAGGTTGTAATGTGTTGTCTTGAACAAATCATATGCTGGGTCTGGTTAGTAGAGTCAGAATGGTGTACTGACAGTAGGTCTGTGTTTCTGAAGACAAAACAATTCCTCTATCTTTTCTTGCTTACTGTAACAACAATAATGTATGCAGAGTTCTTTGTAACTGTTCATTCGGAATGAAGCTCCAAGTATCTTTGTCTGCCTGTGCACTGTTATCCTTGATAAGTAAGTTCAGTCTGTCAGACTGGGTAGAAGAGGTTTATGGTTCCAGAATAGAAACTCTGCAAAGTTACTTGTTGTGACTTGTGTAACATCAATTACAAACAGTAATTGTCCTTTACCATCTTGGAAATATATTTTATGCTTTTCTAAATTCTCTCAACACTTTATCTCCAATCAGTAGTATCTTTTTAAAGTGATTTGATTTTTTAAAATTTTTTTTGTTGTTGTTCCAAGAAGCCAAAGAATCATGTTTTAAAATGAGTTGAGTGCTTCTGAGACAAATATGAATACTTTTATTACAGAGTCAAATATGCTGTTTTCTTGCAATGTCCTTGTTTTGGTCAAAATTTGAATGACAGTAACAGCTGAACTTTAAGGTCAGAATTGTGTAAAATGTCTATGAATCTTATTTTAGAAGTGTAAAACGGATTCTTTTTCTTCCCAGCTACTCCCCAGATATGAGGTTTTGTCTTTTTTGGATTTTATGTAGTTTGTTAGCTCTAACCTCTGTATGTGCACTGGAAGAGTGTTCTTAATATTGAAAATTATTGTTGGATGTGTTGTACTGAAAGGTATAATTTTCATATGATAGACAGTTTTGAACAAAGACAACTGGCCATTCTTGGAGAAAATGGTATTTGGAGGCAGTGAAAAAAGTGTCCAGAAAATAGGTATATTGTTTGACAGGATGAGGACATAATCCATCCAAACTTCAGCAAAATTAATAAAGTAGTTTTAGTTGTTTACAGATGAGGGGATTCTCTTGTGTGGAGTTGATTGACTATAGCATTTGATAACTGTATCAGTTGCAGAATTTGCGTTTTTGGTTTCCTTGTGGGTTCTTTTTTTCCCTCTGCATCTATTAAAATAGGAGGAATAATAGCTTAAAGGAAACTGTAGCTTAGAGGAAACTATCACTTAGAGTTTACATTTATCTTTTGCTTTTAATACTTATTTCAATCTTCAGTTTTTTGTAGCTTCAGATCCTACAGTTAAAACTGATCGTTTGTGGCATGACAAATACACTTTGAGGAAGTCAATGATCCCATCTTTTATTACAATGGAGCAATCAAAAAAGGTATGAATCTAAAAGTTCATCTTCTGATAATTTGTTTGCCCTGTGCTGCTAGTTAGATCTGGGAAAACAAAGGCTAAATTTAACAAAAAATAATTGTCTCAGGAATTTTAGAATTGTTTGCTAAGGAAGGCTACAGGACTGTTTCTCCTTTCCATTCTCTAACTGTTAAACTTTGAGGGGATCTCAAGTAGGAGGAAAGGTTTCTTTTTAAAACCCTTTCATATTAGTATTGCTATTCTGGATTGCTGTGGTTGAGATTGTAAAAATAAAAGCACAGAAAGATGACAAAATATCTTCTTGTCCTGGTGGTTGTGGATGGCTTCTTTGTTTGTTGGTTTTTTGTTTTTTTCTTATAAGCAAATAAATTCTTAAAAATTCCTTTTTATTTCAGGTCCTTGGTTTACACTGTAAACTGACTTCATGGGTGGAAAGGAGTACAAAAATCCCATCTGCCCTACAATATAGATAGTTCAATGGATACTTGTTTTTTCAAAATATGTATGTTGATGCATGTGTATAGTTTTCTTAATTTAATAAGTTTGCTGGATGATTGTTAATGTACTGAATTCGTGAATGAAACCATTCAAAAAACAGTCTGCCTTCAGCTGCCTCAGCTGGGGTGGGAGCAGGGATATTCTTGAGTGCTGCAATACTAATTTAGTATGTTTGTCTTCTCATCAAATATACTCCATCATACAATTCCATAATATTGAGTTAATTTTGTGGCTGAAAAATAAAACTACTCAGTTGTAAATAAGAGAATAAGCAATAAGAACAGAAGCCTATCTTGTGTATATTGGCACTATTGGTATAGTGCCTTTCTGTGAATGCACTATACCAATATGTCAAAAATAAGTATGTGGAAGGTTAATAAAATTCTTTTTGAAGATTACTTAAAATTGGGATTGCCAGCTGGTGAACTTGGAACCAAAACTTAACTATTAGAATTCCGTCACGTTATTTTGTTTTATTCAGAATAGATCTCAGTTTTAATGAATGAGAATTTATATGTAATTTTTGGGGGTTTTTTTGGTGGCATATTTGTTGCAATGAAATCAACATTGTTATGATGAATGATAACAAATAGTAAGCATCTAAACCAATGAGACTTTGTCCAAATACTAAGCAAAGAATGTGTAGGATGCTGCTACATCTCAGAGAGAGGACAGATTGTTGCCTTGTGGTGCAAATGGTTTTTGCTACTGTAACTTCTTTTGATAACTTGTTTAATATACCAAAGATAGTCAACTGCTGAGATACAGTTCACTGGAATAAGTTTTCTGATGCTAATCATCTAAGTATTTTTCTGTCAAATTCTTCTTTTCAAAGAACATACTTCTTAACACTTTATAACATAATATTACTTACATATAATGTTAAAGCTTATAAACATAATATTACTTACATATAATGTTAAATGTATGTGGGGTTGTTTGGTTTGCGTTTGTTGGGGTTTTTTTTCACCTCCAGATAACCTTGAATTAGTTTTAGTATTAACTCTTCAGTGTGGACTTTTGGCATGAGTAACTCCATGCAAAATGTTCTAGTAATAAAAGCCTATTCATATCTGGAAGAAAATGTCTTCTAATAATGTGATTTTTGTACCATGTTCAGTGCTTGCTTAGTCAGAGATAAGCCTGAAGTGCAGAAAGGGCTCAGGGTTAAGTGAATAAGGGCTGTATTTGAACAATCATCTTGCCAGCTACTCCTGGAAAAAAGGAAAAAAAACATTCTTTGGCTGCACCACTTTCACGACTTTATACAGCATTTATGGCCATGCTTTTCCAATATTTCTTTAAATTTGCGCTTGATTCTTTCTCCTTGATTGAATGGAAGATCTGCACAAATACAGGTTTCCTATTATGTAGGGCATGAGAGCTACGAAGCACCTACATTATCTTAAGTGCTGAGAATAACTGTTTGAGACAGGAGCGTAGTTTTAGAAATATGTTACTCTATCTGCAGTGTGCTGAAGGTGTGCTGAGCTTACAGTTGGCAGCCTAAATACCTCATGGTATTGCATTGCTTTAATTCTGCATGAAATTGCATTTGTGTTGAGGGCATTTTATCCATTTAATCCTGAAAGAATATTCTGTGTCATGAATGTTGGAAGTGCTTCCTTTTGTGCTTGTTTATGCCATCTAACAATATCCTGAAAGTCCCTTTAGACAATTACTTATTATTAAGATCATGGAATGCTAGGATGCCAGCCTGAGTTCTGGATGCTTTTTTTGATTTTAAATCTGAATGTTTCATGGGTTTGGCTGTATTATTTATTTCTTTAATTTGCTTGGGAACCTTAACTATCATGTTTCCCCAGTTTCCTTTTGATGCTGAAGTAATCATGGTGTGGAAAAGTGTCTGAACATGTATTAAAACAAGAAGTCTGATATAACTGTGTTGAAGTTGGTCATGTTGCCTGGCAGAGAATTGTAGCATTGTGGAAAGAGGAGCAGTAAAAAAGGCCAATAAAGTGGCCTCAGCTCCAACATGTAGCTGCTGTCTGTAGTTTGGGGACTTCTGGACCAGGAATGACACTGTATTCAGCTGTAGCTATTTAGCTATTCAGTTAGCAGCTCATGGACCTGCCTGTCGGTGCTTTTAGTCTACTCCTTTCTTTATCTGTTTCTGGCTTTTCAATGTTCTGAGATAATTTTGCACAGTTTTCAGAACTTGTGTCTGGACCTGGTGTTGATGTGAAAAACCTTTTTAGCAGTTTTGTATGTCAGACAGGAATGCTCTGTTTTGCCTGTGCTGGGGACTGTGTGTGTATGCAGAGGTGGTGCATTATAGCTACATATGTAAAATTTACTTTCCAGTCTGAGGTGAAGGGCTGTGGCCAGGTCACTTCCTTCAAGGCAAGAGGATCAGTACAAAGGAGAGGGGAAAGGCTATTTTTTCTGCTTGAGATAGTAAGAAGTTGAGACTGATCTGAGCTCAGAGCTACTGCTTAAACATGCTCACCCCTGTGTGAGTGGAGACTGGACCAGCATGCCTGATACGGTGGGCTGGCCATAGACAAGCCAGGGAGTTGCCTGCTGGCTTTGCTTGTGCCTTGAGCCAGTGCTAGGCCCAGCCTCTGTGTCCAGGGGCTGAAGAGATTAGCTAGTGACTCCTTGTGGATTGGCTTGTTCCCTCTCTTGTTTTGCCTGTAAGGCTCACAGCATCTTGAGGAAACACACTTGCACTCACTGCAGGCTGTATTAATTCTCACATCCTTAAGGTTGATGTGTGTTACTTGACTAAGTAGTATTTCTCTAGTCTAGGGATTTTAAACACAGCAATGTATTATAAAATTGTAATCTCTTCGACATCTGTTGCACTTTTTGTGTTCTATGGAGAGTTTCACTGGTTACTGAATAATAGTTTGGAAACCTCCAGGAATGTAAGTGAACCAGACATTTAGGCTTCCCTTCTTAAAGAGCGACTTCTTTATTAGAGCCACTGCTTATTTCTTCAGGTCATAAGCATTTTATTAATTGAGCAGTTAAAGTGGGAGTATATCCTTTAATGCTGAAGGGAGGTCTGAATCTTATGATAGTTGGCAATCCAGTATTTGGAGTATTACTCCGTGTTGCCTGAAGAGGCCGCAGTTCTTGCTATCTCGTAACAGTTTTACTGGAGTCCCTTTCTTGATGAGCTTGTAGTTGTAGAAAGCAGTGAAATAAGCTTCCTACTACTTTCTACTGCTGCCTAGTTTCCATCTCCAAATTCCCATACATGAAAGAAGGACAGAAAAAGCAGGTTCGTAGCTGTCCCCCCAGGTAACTTAAGCATATTCCCTTTTTTCTCATTCTCTTATCTATGGAAACTCTCTTCTGTTGAGTGTTTTAACATTTTGATTCTTTGATTTATTTTCCCCTGCACCCTTAGAACTGCCTTCTGATTGGATTCTGCCCAACAAAGGTTTTTCCAAATTCTGCACTTTGGGATCTCCGTAAATTATTTGATTTGTAAACTGCAGTATTTCAGCAAGCTTAAAAATCTCCAACTTTTTATGTGAAAGTGACATAACATGAGCTTCTACTGGAAAGTACAATCTGGGCACAGATTAAAATACTATTGAAGTTTAGGTTGCTTTAAACTTGCTTTCGCTTTGGCTATGGCAAGCGTGTTTTTCTGTTTGTGTGTTTCAACTCCAAAGCTTGTTTGTCTCTGTTTTTGAGAACTACTAATTTAATTTCAATTTTTATTTTCTTTTAGCTGCTGATTTGTTCACAGATCTGGAAAACGCATTTCAAGAGAAAATTGATGCAGCTTATTTTGAAACCAGCAAATACCTGCTGGATGTTCTGAATAAGAAGTATAATTTGCTGGAACACATGCAGGCCATGAGACGCTACTTGTTACTTGGTCAAGGAGACTTTATCAGGCATTTAATGGACTTGCTCAAGTAAGACAATAGGAATTTCTGATGATTTTGTGCATGGTCAGCACAGAAACTGTTTTGCTTCTTGAAGAGGACGCTCTAAGTACCTTGCTCAATTAAATGTTTGAGTAATAACTTTAAAATTCTATTTGGGGCTTAGTTTCTTTGACCCTGAGGCTTAAAATTTGTTCTTTCTTTTTGATAAGAAGTATATACAGTACCATTTGACAAAGTCTTGAGAAGTTGAACTAATACAGATATCTTTATGTTGGCCCTGTGACAGCCTCGAGGATGTTGGCACTTCTCTTGGTCCTGTCAGCAAGTTTAAGCAGAATCATTCTGCCCTTGATGCCACTGATTAACTCAGTTGGAATTATTAGGCTTCCCTATATTTCAGAGGTGTTTGGTCCAAAACACTGTGTCAAAACCCTTCAGTGTAGTTTTAAAACCTCACCAGCCTCTGTTTCAAGCACTCGCGTACACCCACAACTACTGATTCCAGTTCTTAAAGAGTATTTGCAAGCTCACTTTTACATGCTGGTGCTACTGATGAAGCTTTTTCAAACAAGCATTGGCTTGCAAAGCTTTTCTTCGATCTAGAAGGCAGGCTTTGTAATAAAACTTTCATTAATTCATTTGTAAATTAAAATCAATGTGTACATGACCACGCTTTTTAATGTGAAGCAGGATGAGGTTGGCTTGTAGAGTCAGTATTACATTTGAGGCAGGAGTGAGAGGCTTTCCAGTACTGATCCTGAGGGAGAGAGAGGTAGTACAAGAGTTATATGTTACAACTCTCTGGAAAGGTGAAGTTACGTAGAGGTGGGTGGGTTTCTGTGTTCCTGCCAGCACTTCTGAGCTTGTGAGATAGCTATCAGTAAGTTTCTGAAAACTGAACTGAAATTATTGGTTTGATGTGCTAATGATGTAATCCACCTCATTTAAGATATGAATGCAACTCAGATTACAGGCTAGCTAAACTAGCAATCCTGCCTGGTAACTTCAAATTACTGGCTTTAGATAAGGATTAAGTTACTCCTTATGCTAATATTCGTGAGTGTAGCTGCATGTGAGTAGAGATATTCTGCTCATACTCTGTTCAAATGTTTTGCTCACTGATTTTCTTCATGATGAAGTCTGAAAGAGTAATACGGGAAGTTCTGAATGTTGGTTAGAAAAGGGTTTTGCTGTGTGCTGCAGTTATGACTGAATTGCTGCTGCAGAGTATTTCAGTAATGTGCTATGACTGTTTCATAACCACCAGGCCAGAGCTCGCGCGACCAGCTACAACCTTGTATCAGCATAATCTCACCGGAATCCTGGAAACGGCAGTGAGGGCCACCAATGCCCAGTTCGATAATCCTGAGATTCTCAAGCGATTGGATGTTCGACTTCTGGAGGTCCGTTGCATCGTGGTGACTCTGACCTAAAACATACTTTTGTTTGTGTGTATACACACAGACATCTATATGAAACGAGATTTTTGTATGTGAATAGATTTCCTCCCTTCCTTTCCACAGAAGTTTACTTTGAGTAATATAAAGGTCATTTAATAAGTGATTTTCTTTTGCTTTCCCTGTCTGTTGTCTATTTGTATTTCAAGATGTGGGTTTACAGCCATTGACAATACAAGGTTGAGTATTTGGGGCCTAAAAGAAATTGATGCTGGTGGCCCTGATTTGAGGTTATCCAAAGAGCTCTTAATGCTGTTGCTCTTACAAGAATTGGGGCAGGAAGGGGCAGGTTGGGGTGTGTGCTTCCTTCTTACTTCTAGTTAAAAAAAGGGAAGCAATGAAAGCCCATTTCATGCAAGAAGCCTATGTTAAGAAACTTGAGTTAATTTGAAAGCTTCAGTCTCTCAGGTAAGACTTTAGTGATGAGCTATAGCATCTGAAATTAGTCTACTTCAGATGCCAGAGAAATTTTTCTTTACTGTAATTTTCCTTTACTAGGTTCAGTGGAGAAACACTAATGTTGCAAGCACATCAGTATTTTTGTGAGATCAGTCTCACCCTTTTATCAGAGTGTTTGATCAATTTTTGCTTAATCTGCTACTTTCAGCAAGAAACTCCTGTATCTCTTGTTGATGTGGATGCTTGTTTGCTCATAGGCCCTTCAGAATAAAAGAGTAAGCAAATAATGCTTTTCTTCAGCTTTAGTAGGCTCTGATTATACTCTGACTTTAGCATATCTTTTTAATACAGGTATCTCCTGGAGACACTGGATGGGATGTCTTCAGCTTGGACTATCATGTTGATGGGCCAATAGCAACGGTAATGTCATACACTGCTGGCTCTGTGTGTTTTGAGTGCTGAATTAAATTGCAAAGTGTTTTTTCTTTAATTGAAGTAACCTTTTTTTGCTCTGGAGCATGAAATCAGATTTTTTTTTTTTCCGGCCTCTAGGATGTAGCCACTGTATCAACAGTTAAGTAAAAATCTCAATTCTTACCAGATAACTGTGAGTGCAGAAAAGCTACATTTAAAACAATCAATACTGAAAATCAGTAATTCATTTGTACCAGCACAGTCTTTAGAAAGTACTTAATAAATTGAGTACTCCTATTCTTCAATAATTGCTAGTCTGTAGATGCTGATTTGGGAAAATTTACAACGAACTGAAGAATGTATTCGTGGAGAACTTATGCTCTCTAAATGGCATTCAATAGGTTGCACTATTTATCAGAATATATTTAGTCTCTATAAAGAACTTGTAAAGAACTTCCTTTTTAAGCAGGACAAACTGAGTCTGACCAGCAGAAGGAATTTTCATTTTAAGCTTTAAAAGAGGCTTAGGCTTTGTTCTGTTCACCCCTTCTTACACTTCTAGCAGTTCCCTCTGTCTATTTGAATGCTAGGTAACTGTTCAGCCCTCAAGGGAGGATCTTTCCAAAAACTCTGGCATTTCCAGGAAACTTTTTGGTTTTTTTACAATATTTACCAATAAGCTGCATGGATCGGATAAGATGGACTGTGAAGAGGTTCTTGGTACTTTAGTATATATGGTGTGGCCATTAATTTGTACTGAAACTTTCTTTGTTTTGTAGGTATTTACACGTGAGTGCATGAGCCACTATCTAAGAGTATTTAATTTCCTTTGGAGAGCGAAGAGAATGGAGTATATTCTTACTGATATATGGAAAGGGCACATGTGCAATGCAAAGCTTCTGAAAAGTATGCCAGGTGAGATGACATGCTTGTAAAATGGATGTAGATGATTGAGTCTTATTTTAAACTGTGTGTTAAGAGGGAGAAGAGTGTCTGATGAGGGATGTGCAGATTAATTTTGTATTTTTGTGCTCCTCTTGCCTGGCTGTTTAATGGTAGATGGTGGTGATGATGATGAATGTAAAGCAAAAATTGTAAATGGAATTTTCTTATCTATTGTTTTACCTAATCCTTGGTTCCTGTCTTGAAAAGTTACACTAAGAGAAGTATATTTATGCTGGCCAAGTTGTGAGAATGTAACTTCTATCCCTTAGTATTCATCTTCCTGGATGTCTTATTTGTACCCCATGTCTCCCTCTTTCTTATGCTGTCTGTTAACTGTTAAGCCTCATACATGCACAGTTCTGAATTTACTGCTTTTACCTTCACTTATTCCCTCTGCTTTTGTTTAGCCAAGAACAGAAGAGGCTAAGAAGAGAAAGATGTTTGAGAAGAAATAGGAAAGCTCTGAAATGTAGTGCCTCTGGTGTATGTTTTATGGACTGGGACTTTTTGATCCTATTTCTCAGCTAGAGAATTTAGCCATATTTATGAGCATCTATACTGGCTCATTCTTGATTTTTTTTTTTTCTTTTTAATCTATCTGCTTTTCTTTCAGTAAAAATAACTATTGAGAGTTACACTTCTTAATGGCACAGTAATACTTAAAAATTTATTGTTTTATAATTAAGAACTTTTGGTGGGTGGGAGAGGACACCTGGCCTCAGAAGGTCACTGCTTCTACCATCTAAGATTAGTGGCTGTGTTATGAAGTATTCAGTTTGGTAAAAAAAATTTACCAAGCTGATTTGTTGGCTGTGCTTGTCCTTGCAGTCTTTAACATGCCATCTCTTTGGATTTTTTACAGAGCTTTCTGGGGTGCTTCATCAGTGTCACATTCTGGCATCAGAAATGGTCCATTTTATTCATCAAATGCAGTATTATATTACATTTGAGGTATACTCTACCCACCCAATTAGTTACTTTTAAAATGAAGCACTTGTAAAATTCTGTATGTGTTGCGTATCTTAAATTTCATAGAGCTTGTCATCTCACAAATTGAAATAGTCCAATCCTGTATCATTGCTCCAGGTGCTTGAATGTTCATGGGATGAACTCTGGAACAAAGTTCAACAAGCACAGGACTTGGATCACATCATTGCAGCTCATGAAGTTTTTCTGGACACAATCATAGCTAGGTGCTTGCTGGATAGTGATTCCAGAGTAAGTCTTCTCCTTCTCATGAAATTGTAACTTAATGATCTTGCCATATATGTCAGGAGGGACCTTTAACGTTGTAGGAGCAAAGGAAAAAGTCATTTTTATTCCTCTGATATAAGATTTTGTAATGCTAGGTTCTGTACTGACTGCTCAGACATAGTGAGAAATGTTGAATAAAACTTGTGTGATGTAGGCCAGTTGTTTTTCATCCTAAGAAGCTGTATGATCATTGAACAACTGACTTAGGGCTTTGCAGAACAGTTTCTCCAGCTGTGTACAAAAGATTTTTTTTTTTTACTTTTCTTTTACTTTTTTCTTTTCTCCATTTCTGGAGAAGGGTGGTAACTTTAAACTCTTGTGCTGTACAGCTGTTTACTTGTTTTGTTTCCTAACAGGTACTTCTCAACCAGCTTCGAGCAGTTTTTGACCAGATCATTGAACTCCAGAATGCCCAGGATGCAATGTACAGAGCTGCTCTGGAGGAGCTGCAGCTGAGGTTGCAATTTGAAGAGAGGAAAAAACAGCGTGAGCTTGAGGTATGATAAGAATATTTCTAGAATGTGAAATGAATTTTGATATATGGAGGATTTTAGATACCATGTAAAAGTACAATAAAAATGAAAAATGTAGTTGGGACAGATTTAAAAATCATCAGCAGTTGCTAGTGACTTGAAACAAAACCTAAAATCTGAGTTGATTTTTCTAGTGGACATTTCAGGATGAGAAATTTAGGGTTCTTAGATGAAGTAAATGGGAACCCTTTTGTAAAAAATGCCATAGCTCCATGTCTGCCTCCCTGGTGTGAGACTGACGTGCAGTGTTGGTGTGAGACTTGCCTTGCTAATAAACCTCTTATTTCTTTCATGTGCTGTACAGCCACCAAGATGGGAGTCTGATAGTTTCTATATTGGAGGCTCTGTGTTTGTCTTTCTATGGCAATGATTGTTTTTTATAAACTTGATGCAGCTGGGCAGAAGGTGGCCCAGTTAGTAACTTGAATCATGTGATGCTTCACCTCTTAACTTGTTTGGTTTCTATGTAGGGCAAGTGGGGTGTAACTGCATCAGAAGAGGAAGAAGAGAACAAGAGGATGAAAGAATTTCAAGACTCAATACCTAAAATGTGCTCACAGCTGCGAATACTCACTCACTTTTACCAGGTGACTCTTAAATTATATTTATCTAAAATATACTGAGCTTTGTGTAGAAATTAACTTAAAATATTGAGTAGGTGTAACTTCTGTATTCATGTGTGTGCAGTTTGTGGAACTAGGTCTTTGTTTTTTCCTTCTGTACTTAAAAGCCTGTGTTCACTCTTCCTTGGTAGTCAAAGATTTTATTATCATTTATGCTCCCCTGACAAAGGAGAAGAGTAATTTCATGGAAATTGTCTTTTTCCTCCAGTAGCAAAAGTAATGGCTATCTTTTGGTGTAGTCTGAGAGGGGGAAAAGATAGAGTTCCTCTGCATTCCATTTTTTCCTCACAGGCTTTGCAAATCATTGGTATTAAAGACTGCAGAGAGTTTCTTAAGAAGGGCCTAACACTTACTTAATTTTAAGCTCACTGGAGTGGGCAGTGGATAAGATGTTTGGGGGAACATGTGCAGGCTATCTTCTTTAAGTAATTTATTCTTTGTCTTTATTTGTTGCATCTGATGCTAAAGCTACCATTCCCCAGAACAATGACCCTAAGTCTTTAAGTGTAAATAAATACGTGCTTTATATGCTCTATAAGATTGCTACAAGCTGGCAATGTTGGTTTTGCTTGCTGTATTTGGACTGTATTCATGCTAAGCCCTGCTGTGGATTTTCCACACAGGATTTCCCTGGCCTGCTCTGGTCGTCTTTGGAAGTAACGGAGTGCTCTAGTTATGGGCATGTTCATGTTAATATTTACTGGAGATTAGGAATGAGCTCTTCAAGTGAGTCTTCCCATCCTCCCAAATCCCTCTGCTTTCCTGTGTCCTGCGAGGCTCCTGCAGGGGCGTGACTAGAGCCGAATGGGAAGATGGGAAGCAGAAGTGTGCCTCCCACATGCCAAGTGCAAATCCCCCCTCAAATTGCTCCAAATGCACAGTCTAGTTTGGTCTGTAGCACTGACTGCCCTCCTGGGTCTGCTTTGCTGTTCTGGGCTGCCACATGTGCTATATAACCCACATCAAATGGGTATGTTTCAAGCAAGCAGTGCTCTAATGCTGGCCTGGATGGCATTGCACCTGCAACACAGACTCAAGGTGAGGTCTCCTGTTGGCACAGGTTGGATCCTGAATGCTCTCCCAAGGCACTGGCACACAGAGGCATCTGCTCTGCAGCCTGGAAGCCTTCAGACAGATGGAATGTGCCAGCAGGGCACAGGGAGTGGGGAGCACGCTTTAAAAGACCAAGCTGTTTCGTGCTAGAGTCTCTGGCCTGCATGGCAGATCCTTGAAAAATAAAAATGGAACTCTTGGTTTTTGCAGAAAGACTGAATCCAGCACAACTGATTTGTTAACAGTTGGATATACTGTGCTTGCCTTTTCCCAGATTCTTTCTGCCAGTGTACCAGGTCTGTGCACCACCTGATATTCCTGTGCAAGAAACACACCAGGGATGTTTTCTTAGCTGTCTCTTGGGTTTTTCTTTCCCCTTCAGGGAATCGTCCAGCAGTTCTTGGTCCTACTGACAACCAGTTCTGACGAGAGCCTTCGGTTCCTGAGCTTTAGGCTGGACTTCAACGAGCACTACAAGGCCAGAGAGCCGCGGCTGCGAGTGTCGCTGGGCACGCGGGGCAGACGCAGCTCTCACGTGTGACACGGCTGCCGAGGGGCAGCTGCTGGGCACCCGCAGGGAGTGGGACCCCTGCCTGGACACAGCCATCAGCGGTGACACCGTGCAGCCAGACTGTGAGCACCGTCTCCATTGCTGCAGGCAACACGTTCCCAGTCAGTGATTGTGTGACACTGGATAGCAGAAAGCAAAAAAAGCAGGGTTTTTTACACTGATGTTTCTAGAATTACCGGACTGTATGGGCTGACTGAACCTCATCCAATCAACTTGTTAAATCATCCTTTTTTCAAATTTTCATCCTATTTTCAAATAAAACGCCGCTTTTATTTGAAGCTTTCTGAGCTTTTTCCACTGTAACTTATATCTGTGTCAAAGAAATCACATGTTCTTTTGTTTATGGAAAGCACCATTTCCTTTTTTAAAAAGAAAATAAGAAGGTTATTTTTTCTATATGTACTTGTTCTATTTGAAGAGAGCTTTTGTTAAAGCCGACAGATCAGGACCCAGACCTATTGTCCTTGTTAAGAAGCTATACAGCATTTCATTATGCTGATTTTCAATGTTGTGATGTGTTTGACTGTGTGAGAAACTTTGTATCAGGAGACATAAAGTTATATTTAATTTTTTTGTTGTTTTCAAAGTTTAAAACCTGGAATAAAAATTTAGTGGGGAAATTCTATGGGTACTGTACAGGAGCAAACTATAAAAGCAGAGTCAGTAGTGTATCTGTTGCACATAAGATCTGAAAATGAGGTTAAAACCCTCAGTACTGAAGGAAAGTGTTGATTAAGCTTGAATACTTACTGTTCAAAATCAGATATGTAGAAACAAACTGACTTGGCTAATGTTGACTTCATTTTCTTCTCTTTCCTAGTTTTTTCATTGTAAATATTTATATATTGCTGTCCAGATGTTGGGGAGAGGAGGATTCTTTTGCAAAGTTGTCATTATATCAGGTCATTTATTATGTTCCACAAGTGCGAGCTTAGAAAAATAAAAACACAATTATCTTTCACACAAGTGTGTTGCTTTTTGTAATTGAAAGTTTCTGATTGTTTCACAGGTTAAGAAAGGAGAAGCTTCCAGTTAGAAGCATATTGATTTATAGAATCCTTCCCATTGCAGGATTTGGTACTAGTCTTATCTGCAGTGAGAGTTGTGTGCAGTTCATTAACAATTACCCTCAGATCAACCAAGTCTGTGGCCTTTTTTGCCTTTTGCTCTTACTCTCCTTGCACCCTTGGGAGTCAGAGGCATCTGCCAGGCCTTGCAGGTAAGGCTGCTGTGGGTTATCATGGCAGTGAGCTCTGATGGGGACCATGAGCTGACTTCCAGCCCTGGACTAACTGGTTTGCTCTCTGGACATCAGGATTCCTGTTGTGCAGGCCTTGGAATCCTTGCTTTTGTTAAAACATGTCAAGCTTTTCACCCTGTGCCCTGCTGGTGCAGATGCTGTCACTGGGTGGAGCGTGCAGGGTGCATTTCAGCTGTGATTATTGTGCAAGGATGGAGTCTGTGAGCCAAGGGAAAGCTGAAGGATGCTGAGCTTGGCATCGTAGAGTCATGGATCATTGACAGGCAGGAGTAACACAATTTTTGCCAGTTTGGTGAGAGCATGTTGTGAAGTCTGCAAGAACAGCAAAGGTGATTTGATTGTGTTTTGCTCAAGACTTAGAAAAAAAATTAGCTGCACTTCTGGCCATTGGGTTGAGATGTGTTGCATGATCCCATCACTAGACAAGTCAGAGGCGAGAGAGGCAGCAACAATGTTGGAACTAGAGGACAAGTTCCAGAGGAAAGTTGAATTCTCTTTGCTCCTAGAATGAATCCAGCACTACCCAGGGAACTCACAGTAGCGGTCATACTGAGAATGATCATTCTGAGGTGATTCTACAGCAACTTGTTGGTCTGGGAAAAGTCTTTGCTGCAGGAGTTGTTCTGACTGCCAGGCTGAGGGGACCAGTGGGGCCCTGCCATTGTCCCCATGCTTCTTTGTGGGTGGACACCAGTCTCTTAGCCTCTAACCTGGCAGCTGGTATGTTTATTTCAATTTACACGGGTTTTCTTGTGACAACCTCACCTCTGTTGACAATTCCTAACAAGTGGGAGAGAAGTGATCTTGTATTTCATTTGTGGCCGAACACAAATGTTGAATTCTACATAAATGCACATAGTGACAAGCTCCTGCTGCTGTGACTGCACAAGTGGCTTTACTTGTAGTGGGTGGCAGCAGTGCTACATCAAGGTATATTTCTGAGGAGAAACATGAGACATTTTCACCTCTTTATTTTTCAACACTGGAGTTATATACCGCAGTCAGTGTTAAAGAACAATTCTTAACAACACATTTACTATATAAGGATGTTCTTTATGTTTTAGTGCACACTTCTGACTGGTAATTTTAGGGTTTTTTTCTTAGAGTTACAGTGTCTGAAAATACAATACAGCTGTTGGTCTGTGGTTCCAGCCATGTTTCCAGGCTGGAACAAACCCAGCTCCTCCTCACTGTATCCTGTCCCAGGCCCATTGCTATCTGAGCCTGCATGCTCAGCCCCTTTTCAGGGTTCCCAAGGCTTAAAGAAATTTTGGAGAAACTGCAGTAAAAGTAGAAATGCAGAAACTGAGAATAAAATTGTCATTCATCTTACAGTGTCATAACAATATGCAGCACTCTTCGGGTGAAGGGCTATCCATGTGGTGCTGTGAATATCATAAATGCTTTAAAAGGAAAAGAGCTGGAAAATACTTTCTTCTTTTAAACTACAAGGGATATTGTTCTGGTGACTGAAGGGAAATAATAGCTTAACAAATATGTACTCTGAAGAAGAAAAAGTTTTAAAAAAAACCCTGAAAGTTTTATCTCCCTCTGTAAATTCTAACAGCTTGACTGCACCAGGATACAGAATGATTCAGTTCAGTGTTTTAGAAGCATCCACTAGGACATGCAGAAGCTCATGATATAATGCATTTTCCAGTGAATTAGTTATAAGCTTAGGGTAGGAGATCAAGGGCAGAATATAATCATAATCCAGTTTTATTTAAGTGATTCTATTCAGTCAAGGCCCTGTGTATTTTCTCCTCATACCAGATGCAGTGAATAAATGCCAAGGTCTCTCAGCCTTACTCAGTAGGAGCATACTATTTATTTGAAAAGCCTAAATCTATGTGACTTGTTTTGTTAAAATTAATTGTGGAAGACTTTTATCTGCTTCCTGTCACATGTGTAAGATGTTCATGTTTTGGACAAGAACTTTTTCAACCTTTTAATGCATCATACTTATCAAGAATGGCCAATTGTCTTTGGTCAATATGAAGCTCTAACTTCCAGCATGCTACATCTAACAACGATTTTTCAGTACTGAGACACTCTTTAAGTCCATATGTAACTTTTAAACACACTAAGAGTTGAAAAGTAATAAATTATTAGAAAAAGGGAGGTATTTGGACAGAAAATTGAAGCTTTATTTTAAACTTCTTGACTTAAAGATTGGAGTTGTCTGTGATCTTGCATGAATGTTTCCTAATGCTGGCCTTAGAAACAAGCCATGGCTTAGAACATTTGTACTCATTTCAATTTTCACCTGAATAAGCAGCCTCAGAGGTGACAGAATGTATTTCAGATTCACATAAGGGTGCTCAGGGGCTTCTCCAAAGTGCCTCATTAATTTTGAAAATCATCTGTTGATTACTTGAAATCTAAAATGCCACTTTAGCCTCTAATAAGATTCTGCTAACTGGAGAGAAGAAAAAGTTGGGAGAGCTGCATGAGTTGTGCAAATATTGGCAAGCAGAGCAGGGACAGATACAAGAACCTGCTGTTTCAGAGGTCAGAGGAAATTCTGTCTGATTTCTACAAAGGCATTATAACCATTGCCTGCTCTACCCTGTTTAACAAAACAAGATTACTTACAATGCAAAGGATAATAATAAACAGTTACAAGTAAAATATTCTCTTTCTTAGTCTGTAATTGTTCAGAGTGAAAAGTTTCTGCTGCCATTGGTTTAACATACATCATTCTGAGGGCTTGCTGAACCACAATTTTAAAATGTAATGAAAACGTATTATTTTTATGTTGACAAGGAATACTATGACTTTAACACAGGGATCACTCAGACTCCCTAAAATAACAGGCTCCCTGATGCAGTATTTTAACTGTTTTTGGTAGCTTGGTGCAATGCAGTACTTAAGGGGTGAAAGTCACTCATAAGGATTAACTTGATGCTTACTCTCCTTTACCAGAAGAGCAGCAAAGGTATCTCGGTCAGTATTTATTTTCTTTTTGTTTCAAAGTTAGCTTTTTTTGCTAATACACTCTGACAACCCAGTACTGTACATTCTTTCACAGTATTGGACTAAAACCTAAGTGCTGCATGAGTGGAAATAGAGACTCAAGTGCGGGGGAAAAGCCAAAGCTGACCAGAGGTGTATGGGATCAGAGAGAACACAGAGGTCAGGAGAGTTAAAGAAACCAAACTGGTGGATACTCATTCACAAAAGGAGAGAAGAGAAGGAAGCAGGAATCCTGAAAGGCATCAAATGACGGTCAAAGAGACAGAAAGTAGTGGAGAAAGAAAAACATAGCAAGAAAAATCTGAGGAGTGTAGGAGGGGAAATTTCTATCACTGCACAGTTAATTTACTTTAGCTCTTTGTGGAGCAATTTATGTTAAATGTTTTCCTTCAGAAGTTATCAGAACAGCAATTAAGTTAGCTAAACATTTAGGTACAGAAAATGCAGTTGGAGTGATTATTACCATCAGTTTGAATATTAAAATATATGGTAGGAAAAATCTGTCACAAGGTGATTACCCCATGTATGAATTCTTCCAGTGCCTCAGAAAATGAAAATGAATTATTTGCCTTCGAGTTACCTGCCACAAGAACAAGGTAGTCAGGCATCTAGGATGCCTCTCACTTTTACAATGGGAACATTCTCAAAGCCGCTCAAGGCCACTTCACCACCCTTTAAAGCTTTTCCAAAAATTACAAGGACGTAAAGAACAGTCTTCTGCCTTGCTTTCTTAGAAGGCACTGCATTCACTCCTTAAAATAGGGTACTTGTACTGAGTTTTACCTCTTGCTTTTGTTGAACCTGCTGAGAAATATAAAGAAATAGAGGGAAATTACAGACAGGGCTTGTAACAGTAACTAAAAAGGCAGCTGGGAGCTTTCCTTTAGCAACCTGGTCTGTAAAAATAAGATATGGAGCACATTATGATAGGTAGAAAAGGAAGAAACTAAAATTCTCTAGAGAACAAGCAATTGAACCATCAGATGGAGAGAAGTGAAATTGCGCCATTTAGTGGTGTACAGGAAGCATAAAGAGCATCTAAAATGGGGGGTGAAAATGGTATTTGATAAAAGAGAAAAGCATAATTTCCACTAATTGCAACAGTTTAAGACAAAACCAGAATCAGATCCAGACTCATCCCAGAGTTAGAACACATGCACAGGTTCCAGTATTTCACAAGGCAAAATGTTCTGGAAATCTAAAGAAAGCTCCTTCAAATGAAAAGATCAAAACAGACATTAATAACAATAGGAAACAATTACAAAAAAAAAAAGAGTAATTGAATGGTAGCCAGGAAGCAAAATAAAATAATAAATTTTATAATTTCCTTGATTAAGACTGTAAAAGGGCAAACTGTGACTCAGAAGCAATAGTTGTGTAGAAGTCACAGCTCCTTGTGGCTTGAACTAGAGGGTTTCTTAATGGACAGTTGTAAAACTGCAGGCTTATTTTAAGCTTAATTTTTCTCCTTTATAAATAAAGAACCCCTCAAAAGCACCTTTAAAGGGGTAGGAAGGCACCAAACAAGACCAAATTTTTTGGTTCCGTTTTGGCAAGTTGATCTGGATGCACATTGCTACTTGTTGCAGGCACCTGGCTTCCAAACCTCACCAGCAGAATGAGCTGTGCCAGGATGCAGAAGAACAGAAATCCTGCTGATCCCATACCTTGCCAGAGGCAGTGATGCTGCCAGTGCAGTGTCACACATGTCACAGACGTGGTCACTGTG